ACGTATGTATGTGTGTGTACACACGAGCACACACACGCGCACACATATACATACTGAAAATAGAATTTGCAGTAAAATCAATCGTTGGGGAAAAGGGACTTGCGTATATATGTAACAATCTCTCTTAATTATTGTATTAAAGTAAACGATATAGCTCGGTATGTATCTCAATAAGGCGAGTACCTGCGTGCGTGCGTGTGCATGAATGAATACATGTGTCGGCGTGGCTGCGGATGTATGTGCGCGTGCGTGTATATACATGTAGAAAAGAAATTCGCGGCGGAATTTCACGTAAACATTTGTGCAAGTTGAAAGATAAACTTTATATGCAAGTGTCTGCATGCATTAATCAAGAGCAAACAGACAGAATGGCAAGGACATAGGGTAGGGCCATCTTATAATGAGTTTTCACTGAGTTACACCATTCTCATTTCAGCAAATTTAGATCTTCAAACTTTATATATCAGCGTGTCTCAGACTTTGAGGCAGGAGTGAAAACAAATTCAAGGTGAGATCACAGCAGCGTGGTTTAGAATTAAGTTTAGCTTACTGTATGACAAAATACACATTTTTCCAACGAAAAATGAATCTACACTTTAAACGTGCATGCTTGAGCGTTGTGTAGTATATTCACGGAAATCCATGTGCTTCAAGTTCACTGATATAAGACAATTATTTACATCTTTCTCCATTATGTGCTGTGTAGTAAGATTTTGCGTAATTGGTGAGGTAGCCAACAAATATATACGTGTAGCTGTGATCGGTTCCCGACTTCATTCTCTTTTGTTACTTACACATTACGTAGATTCTTCATCTTATTGTTTATCTGTTCACAAAGAACACCAGAACTTGGCCTGCCAATGTTTGAGAAACACACTGATATATCCCATATCTTGCACATGTATTTATAAATGGTGGCTCTATCCCATATATATCAAAAATTACGAAAAAAAAAAAAGACAAATCAATTTAGTCGTAGGTGGTATTAACATGTTGTGTGTCTTTAATAATTATTTTATTCGATACATGTTAAATTCAATTTTTATCCAGTGTTGTATAATCTCACTTTTGTTTGCTCTCCCGTTCCTCTCTCGTTACACTGTAATATGACGACGCGATTATTATATTATATAAATAAATTTCTGAATTTTTTGCCAATTCGTCTTTTTATAAAATATAAACATTAGAATGCGTGTACGGGTGGATGGGTGTACGTGGGTGTTGTATTTGGATGTAGATGTCGATATGGATATGTGTTACGTATGTGGAGAGAGGTGTATGTATGGACGTGTATAAACACACACAAAACATAAGATGCTACCACAAGTAGTTAAATTTAATTAACGATTGCATGTGTATTAAATTAACATTACATCTAATTTTTTTTTAATTAATTTGTTACGATGATAACACGTACGAGATAGTCACGTTGCACGGCTATTGCATTAGTAACATTAGTTGAAAATTTATCAAAGAAAAGTTGAAAAATTGTCAATATATAGCCAGCTTCAAGTTACATTTATATCTGCCAAAATGCAAGCCATTGACCAAGTATAAATATATTTACGGCATGTTACAACAAAGAGTATATTATAAAATAGATTAAAGTATCATTACTGTACCACAACTTATATGTACATGTATAGAGAGTGTGTATGTGTGTGTGAGAAAATCTCTTTCCTTGATTTTTATCTATTTAAAATCTTGGAAACTTGATACAAGATTGTGTAAAAGAATGGTAAAATTTTTCTTATTTTACCTTCTTTTAGATATACCGACGAATTTAATGTTCGAGAAGATCTGATGGGACTAGCTATCGGTGCTCATGGTGCAAATATTCAACAAGCGCGAAAAGTTGATGGCATTACAAATATAGAGTTAGAAGAAAATTCATGCACATTCAAGATATATGGAGAGGTAATGATTTCACCCAAGATTTATACACACACACACATATATATCCGTCTACTATTGTACAATATATACTCAGCTGGTACTTTTTCAATCGCAGACGCATGAAGCTGTTAAGAAAGCTCGATCTATGCTGGAATACAGCGAGGAATCTATACAAGTTCCACGGGTGTTGGTAGGGAAAGTAATTGGGAAAAATGGTCGCATTATTCAAGAGATTGTCGACAAAAGTGGTGTAGTAAGTATATTTTCTCAATTATGTATATATATATACATATCTAATAGAACATAGAACCGAGTTTTATTCTCTTTTATAGGATATTACTTTCAGAATTAATATCTCCCTCAGGTAGGGACTCTCCTTTCTCAATTAACATTGTCTGAGAACATGATTGATGATGTTATATAAGTATAACAATTTTCATTTTCAGTTGATACGGTATGATTTTGTTGAAACTGTCAAATTTCGATTTATCTAGATTACATGTAATACTTTACAGATCCTCTACATCCACTGATATATGTTTATCTCTTAGGGTATGTAGCAAAATCGCTGAAATTTCTAACACGCGTTTCAAACATTAACGATCATAATAGGCGCTCTCTTTTGCAACATACGCAGACACGTTAGATCGTTAACAACGGTTCAATAATCAAAATTAATATAGCATTCAATTGAAAATGGAAGTTATAATTTATGAGGGATTAGGTTATGTATGACATATACCTTGTCTGTTCTCGGTAGATAACAACTGGCTCGAGTGGGAATATACATATTGATAAAGTAAGTATGTCATTTCCTATTGTTTGTGATTTTATTCCATCCAGTTTAGTCAATCATTCATATATATACATATATATATTCATATGGAAGCACTCGCAAATCTTACATGAACCACTCGGGCCAGTTCCTTTGAATTGTACTTTAAGAATAATAATGATAATGATGATGATAACAGTGACCGTACTTTGTTTATACGTGTAATAAGGTCTGTATCCATGTTTCACATTTAGCACTAAATGTGACTGTCTCATACTGAATGCTATTTATGTTGCGTTCAGCATTATCACGGGCTGACGACTCATTTGATGCCAAGTGTGCATCGTGTATATAGACCTTAATGTACATACATGTGCATTGCAAACAGTACACTGGATGCTAAGTCATTCCATGTCCATGCATTTGTTTTTTGTCGTTAATTATGTTGGAAATGAACATTTCTAAATTTCATACTCTTCCAATCGATTTGATTTAAGTTAAAAACTTGTCAATTGGATACAACAATATACGACATGGCATTTATCATTAGTAACAAGAATATCTTGTGGTGAAAACTTTTCAACGTAATATCAATAAGTGTATTGAATATGTATCTTATGCATGGGGAATCTGATAAGTATTTAATGTACAAGTGGTTTTTTTTTTTCTTTCTTTTTCTTTGGTTTTATTTCACACAGAGATTATAAATCTCCTATCGATATAAAAAGTGTTTTTCGTGTACAAGATACAATTTGATGAAACAATTACTTGTGCAACAATGCATACGCTGAAATTGTTACTCGAAAGAAAAAAGAACGAGAGAAAAAAAGTGAGACTTGCAAATTTATTCACGGTTACAGTTGAAAAAGAAAAAGACATGATCGTAGATACAATTGCCACGTATTTAATGTAACGATTAGGTTACTATGACGTATATCAGCTGAAAGAGATGTTATTTGAGAAAAGGTAAAAGTATCGAGAGAAAATTTCTTTTCCAAAATCGATTTCTTTTGGGGATATAAAGGGTGTAAAGAATATTTAAGCAAATTTTCGCAGACTGATCGACAAGTCTATTGATGGAAATGACAAACGCCAGTGACTGAAAACTGATGGTATGGATATGAAATACGATTTTAAGCGTCTCATACTAATAATCCGTATTACTAAGTGCATCGAAAGCGCAATTTTAATAACTACGCATTTCAGGTAAGGGTAAAAATAGAAGGAGACAACGAACCTCAACCAACGATTCCGCGAGAAGAGGGTCAGGTGCCCTTCGTCTTTGTTGGTACTGTCGAAAGCATCGCCAATGCCAAAGTTCTGTTGGAATATCATTTGGCACATTTAAAGGTATAACTATATGTCGAAATATTATATATATATATATATGTATATCGCGGTTACGCAGAAGAAAAGAAAATTGGATTTATACCGTAGGAAGTGGAACAACTCCGACAAGAGAAATTGGAAATTGACCAACAACTACGAAGCATGCATGGATCGACTACAGGACCGATGCCCAGCTTTCCCCCCACAAGACGAGGAATGGTTGCAGGACCTGAAGAGGGTATCGGCGGTCGTGGTGGTCGCGGTGGCCAATCTCGAGGACGCGGTTCTCGGGGTAGAGCCCCCGCTAGACACAATGCCGGTAATATTATTAAGCATACAAATACGAAACGGGAGGTCTAATTTACGGCTTTAACCGTACATAAAACCGTACATTTACGTATTATACGTGTATTAGGAATTTAACAATTGACCATGCGTCCTTTAGGATTACGTAGAGATACTTTGGACGGCAGTGAGGATCGTGTTCGAGATTTACCGCCAAGAGGTGGTCATCAGGGAGGTGCCGGTAATTCAGGGTATATGAGTGGCAGGCAAGGTCGTCCTCCAACCCAACGTAGAGATCGTAGAGATGAACGTCGTCGCACTACCGATGACGAAGACACTGTTTTAGACAGCCAAGACGTTTCAAGTATTGATAGAGGTAATAATACTTGTTGCGTCTCTATGAGAGCGAGTGTGTTGATGACAATCTCCCCTAACCGTTTCGTCCTAAAGAGCAACGTGTGTTTGAGATTAGCATGTGGAGCAAACTCTTGTGACCATCTAACACTAATGTTTTTCGTCAAATTGACTGAATATATACATGTATATATCGCATGCTACTAACGTATGCAGCTTTCGTTATTCTTTGATGTGAAAGACGGATGGTCACAATGGTTTGTGTATGTATAGAGTCGGTATCGAGTGTGGAGGGAGGGCCTAAAGGAATGAGACGAAGACGACTTCGGCGCTCGCGGCAACGAAGCTCAACTCCAACGAGTGCTAGCCAGACAGGTAGGCCTCGGTAGCTCGCTCGCGATCTCTTTAGGACGGTCGGTTGTAAAGAAAGTTGTTCGTTCTGTTGGTCTGTATATACGAAAACATTCAGAGTTAATCTATACATTTGTTTAGGCAGTAATGCCGGCCCGTGCGACCAATCGACCATGAACAGCAAGGAAGGAACACCCGCGAACGACGTGTCCATGTCTAACAACAGTTCGCAGGGACCTAAAGGCCAAAGAGAACATCGGTCTCGTCCCCCTCGTATGCAGCAGAGCAATAAGCCTAAGGAAGCTCTGGTTAACGGTACCAGTGGCTAAGCAACTACGTTGCGTTGTCACCAATCGCTACGCTAACGTAGCTACGTTACACCTGATGAGAGCTATCAACTCCCAGCACGTAACATGACGCATACCGACGCAAGGACTACACGATTATGGAACGCGACATGATTAGTCTACGCTCGTTGTTAAGACTGTTTGCTACCGACATAAGAATACGACAGTTGTTTAAGAAATCGTCATTCTCCTTAAACACATTTAAGGACACATAATATTAATATCCATGCATGGTTTAGTTTAATGATGGTGATTACACTGTCATGTTTGATATACGGATACATTCATTGGGAGATAGAGGAGTAGCATTTGGTAAGAAGGATTCCCTGATTGTGAAACTGTGCCTCATTTTTATACCAAGCTCCTAACTTATGTGGCAGTGCTTTGGATGTCTCGTACACCGTACGGTACACCTTGGTCACTCGTTTAACGATCCAATATTAGGCTGGATAATCGCGGCTCGTACGTCAATTATCGCGTGTGGATAGGTTTTTCATCTAGGTATGTCGCTCAGTACTTACGGATACGGACACAATTCGGTGCTCGCAGTGTCATTCCGATATCGAGTTTATTCAGTTTATGCTTGATAGCCAAATCAGATTCCGTATTGAAATACACACCTCGTGTTGCCTCGATACCTTATTACTTTATTACTCGACTCGATACTACTACGTAACCTCGTTAATATCGGAGATAATTATGAAAACCGAGACAAATGCGACATAACTAAGATGCAACTCGATGCGGTACAAGGAAAATGGATTTTCCGTTGTTAATCGTAACAATGGTAGGGGCGGCGGCAGCTCCAAGAAATTCTGGTTCAAAGGTGTTCCCAATGATGTTCCTTTCTATTTACTTGAGGAAATTGAGTTTTTCATTTACAATTATTAGTAGAGTTGTTTAACAACACTAGATTTTTACGTTTCAAAGCTGAGTGTTGATTAATAGCAACATGATGATTGCGAAAATGACTTGTTCGAATCTAACACGGTCAGATGTGCACAAGGAGTCGGTTTTTTTTTTTATTTCCGAATACACTTTTCACGTAATTTAGCGTCTTTCCTTTTCTTTTAATTTCCTCTGTTTTCTTTTCTTCCTTTTTTTTCTTCTTTTTTTTTACTTTTACTACAGTCTAAGCATACTATATCAAACTTTAGGATTCGATATCGAGTTTGTTTCTGCATTGTTTCGCATGATTTAAAAAGAAAGTAAACGTATACTTAGTAATACCAATGTATGATGTGCCAGAGAGAAGGAATGATACATGTTTTATGATATCTAGCTAAAGTGCAGACTTAGCGCATACCTTTATTACTATAATACTACTTAGTCGAAATGTGGATGTCTGAACAAATAAACTAGCTTTACTATACTAAGCTATAAAATAGATATGATCAATTGTTTTAAATTGATTATCAACATTATTAAAAATCAGTTATCAATTTAAAACAGTTGTTTCTTCTTCCGGATATGACAACAACTAATCGGACGTGTCTCATGAATTTTGCAAAAACACATGGCGGTTGATGCAATATATCGACACCTAACAAAACAGCTGTCATTTTATCTGAATATTCTTATGACAGCCAAAAACTGAGATATCCCCCAACTTGCTTGTTTCAGATACATTTGTATTGATTGCAATTTGTGCATAATTTAAGAATAAAACATTTCTGTACATAGACTGGCCGTTGGTACGATGTAAACCTTGAATTCCCATTAATACGAACGATGCGACGCGCTTTACTTGGAAAATTGTATCATCTCTTTTTCTGTATACGCTCTCACGTACGTGACAATTCGATACAATTGTCCGCACACACGCCACACGCGGCGGGAGTAGAGCCAAGTAATTAGATTCAGTTATTTCAGTTAAATTTGTTTAATTTTACATACATTCACTTAATTACTATCTGATTAAATCTAATTGGTTAAATAAATAGCTTACGTGTTAGTAAAAGAGTGTTATTAATTAAAGGAAACATTGTTACGATCGTTTATAATGGTCTTTCCTTGCTTAGAACAATTAGAAAGACATTAGACGTGACCAATAAGTTTAGACCTTGTCTAAACAAGTAATTTTAAGGAAGAAATTGCACAGGTAGTTTGCCGTCTCAGTCCATTTGGTGTACATATGAGAGTTTCAGGTACAGAAGTGAGATGAGATCTCGCACACGATATAATCAGTGCAGGCCCAGTGTATTCCCGCCGAGACCCTGTTCTTTCCGCCACTGAGCCAATCTGATAGCATACCATCCCTGGAACAATTGAATCCAATGTATCCAGACTTGAGAGTTGCACTTATCATTTACTCACTTCAACGTCCGCCTCGGAAAGACCTGTTTCAGCTGCAAGGAGTACGACGTCCGCGGTATGAGGTGCTCTTGGCCACCTGTTAAACTGCTCTTGAAGAACCGCCTCCTGATTCACCGTCAAGCGAATCACTCGAACACCGGTGTCAGCTCCACTGGTAGGATATCGCGTGGGGTAAGACTTGAGCATGTTGCCCTTGTGAAAAGAAAAGGTATTTTCTCAATATAATCTGGAGAGAAATGTTTCGTTTTATTCGTGAGTAACTGTACGATCGTAGAAACGCGTATACATAGTAGCCTCGGGGCAGTACTAAAAGTAGCGCGACCGTGACCTAACGTCAAGATCCGCGAGATTTTGGACAAGTTTCAAAAGCGTGGAGACACCTTGACATCTATTTGCGAAAACAAGCAAAAAGGGAGAAGAGCATATTGCGTTACAAACTCGGCGAAACTTTACCTACGGATGCAAGCAGGCATGGGCTTTGATCTTAATCCAGAATTCACGCGCAGCTGCCTTTCTAGCAAACTGCTCGACGCAAGATTGAGCGAACACTCGTAAAAAAAAAAAAGTTTTATTGGTCAAAATACAAGGGACTTTCCTCAATATTCATATACATTTGGCGCTGTCTACGCAAAGTACAATACATCGGTAGATCGTGCTCGTAAAACTCGAGACAATTTACGAGATTCTTCTCGAGTTGTCGATGATAAGCCGAGCCAGCGTATCTAGATTCGATGCAACGTCGATCCTCTTCAGACATCTACGCAAAGATCCAACTCGTTTATTATCGATATACCTAATCTCTTGCTCGCGGAATTACTCACCGTCTTCCATTCAGAGCCGATTAGCATGCGCACGCAATCGTCGATCAAATCCTGTATGGGGAAAGAAAATAGGCGGAAAACGATACCGAGTGTTACGATATCATATCGTAAGTCTCTTACCATTCGCGACAACAAGGTGGCCCGATTTTCGACGCGCAGACAATCGAATCTGTTGTGGAGAATCGCCGCGGCCCAAGGTTCGCCAAAGTACGCGTAGAAATCCGAGATGCATGAATTCTGAGAGGGAGAGAGAAGAAATCTCTTTCTTTATATCTCAATTATAGCGTCTCGATACTGTTAGTTGGCGCGCTTACTCGAAAACGGAGTTTCAATTCGTTTAACATGCTCTCGTGTTTCCCATACAAAGCGATCACGTTCTGCAATCGGAACGTCTAAAAGGCAATACCGTTTGTACCATTGTAACAAAACGATACTCGTACAATTTCTTTACCTTTTTGCTTAGGCAGATTACATTTTCCACAGTGTCGTACTTGTTCAATCGAATGCGAAAATATCCAATTTCAGATTCACAAGAACCGGTTACGAATGCTTGGCCCTGCGTATCGAAGGAAACGACGTGAATAATCCATTTCAAGTAATTTGCGAGCAACGTGTCAACTCACGTAGTAGCCGCTACTCGTGTTCGCCGTGCCAGGCCCACGTACATGCAAGTAATGATAACCACCCGGCAAAAGGCAAGCGATTACGGTAGGTGCACGGAATATCGAGGGTGTAAAATATATGATTTCTTGCTTCTTCGGCATTTGCTCGGGAACCCGTTCGATCGCTCTCCGTAAGATTACCGCGAGCTGTCGGCGGAATGGAGAGAAACGCAAATGTTTCGAGTTTGATGAAGAAAATGGACGATATACTCTTTCTTCTACTAACTCTCTCTCCGATTTCCACGCTATCGTAATATTTGTGCTGCCAGGCATCGGCGTAAAACTTTCTCGAATATCTCGTCAAGGTACCAGCGGCAAAAATAAACGGGTCGTTGGTGCGACACTCCGGATCTATTATCAGCGAACCATCGAAAACGAGACCCGCACGACAGAACGCTGGAAGAATAAATCAGACGAAAACGTTCAACGCAATGGAAAATTAATTGGAGACACAACCCGGTAAATATTCTTTACCTAAGAAGGCATTTAAATCGATCGTTTTCTCGTAAAAATTGAAAAGAGCGTTACAAGACAACTTTTTCGTCTCGCCTTCCCTTTCAATCGTGACACTCTCGATCATGAGCTTTGTATCGTCCTTTTCTATCAGAGCCCAATCGATTATGCTCCATGCGGAAAAAACTTTAATCCCGCTTTGCAAAATGGCATTCGTCACCGCTTTGTCCACCTAAGCACGTTTATCGTAATAATATTACATGTATAGGTACATATAAATAGAAATGATGACGTAATCATACTTCGGAATCGTGAAAGCAGGGCTTGAAATCGGGCTCGATCAGTGTGATCCACGAAGGCTTTACGCCGAGCTTGATGAAAGCACCGAGTGCGCAGTAGCAGTCGATATTGTGTCCGTAAAAAAGTATCGTTTCTGTGATAGAAAATGGTGTGTGAGTACAAGTAGTAAAACAATGTAAACCTAGCACCTAGCACCTACTCCTTTCTTTGAAATCTCCCGTTAACCATCGAATCTTTCTGAAACAAGCGGAAGCTTCCGTATCGTCGTTTATAGTCAGACAATTCCATGGTATTTGCTCTTTGTTTTCTCTTGAAAAATCATCAAGTTGACCTATATCGCGTATTCTAATCTTGTGGATATAATAATAATAATTACTCTTGCTTAATTTTGTCTCGTAACGTTGAGTTCTGATACTGCAAGCCGCACGTCAAAGCCAAATAATCGTACGTGAAATTTCCCTGATTCATCAGAGTTACGTGTTTCTTCTTCCTAGGGTGGAAATGAAAGCTACGTGTATACGTCGGATCGAAAGGATGGATTAAATGGTCGTGATGGACGAAAGATGACCTGTTGATCGCTGTCATGGTCCCGTAGACGACATTGACCCAAGCCCGTGCGGTGATGCAGCGACGATATTCCGAATGAAACCTCCCTCGGAATGGAAGCAAGCACGCCTCTGCGCGACTCGATTCCTTATCAAATGGTATACCGTGCGGTGATATCAGCGTAAGGTTTGTCAATTGCTCGTAACGTTGCATCGATCTAGATAATTGGATATTGATAATCGCGCCTATACGAGGATGCGCGCGATCCTCTTTCAAAGGATGTATCAAAGTGTTTTACCGTACAGCGAGATACTCGACGAAGGCAATCCCGCAGTCCGATGCTCCAACGACGACGATCCTCGCGTCGATAATTACACGTGGCATCGTTGCTAGCCTCGGCGACGTGATAAATAGAGAAAACCTACCGTCGTCTCTTTTCGCATTATTCTCACAGTTAGCAAGGTTTTCCAGAATAATTGGGAATCCATATTGAGCTTGTCCACGAGGGTCAACCGGAATCATATCGTTGAGACAGGATACCAAAGGAAGCATGACGGTGCTCTCATCCACAAGCCGATAAAAGAGTACCGTTAACTCGCTCAAACGTGCGATCTCGCGGAAGAAGAAGCGATGATAAGCGGAAAAAATTGGCATGAGAACGAAATGCAGGAGACGCCGGTAGCCATCTTGAGGAATACTCCGCACGGACACGTAATCCTCTATGTGGTAATGATTCGTAACGAGATTTACCTCGCTCTCGGCGCTACAACGTCAAATTAAGGGTTACCACATATTTATAATATTTATAATATTTATAATATTTATAATATTTGAATATTCGCCCGTGTCGAGGTATATAACGTAATAACCACAGTATAGCGAGTCCCAGCATCGTGTCGTTACTTTCGAAGACGAAGCAATCTAAATGCGATCGATGAAAATCAGCCAGGACCTCGTGTCTCGCCGATACAGTGAGCAAGAGTTCCTCTATAGCTTCTCGGTCTTGCACTCGAGCGCGGCGACACCTCATCTCCTCGCGAAGAGCCGCTCGGTGTACGAGATAGAGCGTCATCGGGAAATCTCGGTTACATCTCAACGGCACACGCTGCATGAAAATTGTTTACAGGATTTTCTTGTTACATCGTGTATGTAATTCATGTAAATACCACAAAATGTTGAAGGAACTGATAAGACGGATGGGAGAAAGGGAGGAGGACCGCGCAATACTCGAGATGCGGGAAGCAATCGAAAGCAGCCTCCAGGAGATCGTGGGAGCAGTGAGGCCTCGTTCCGTCGCGCGTCGCAAACATCTCGAGAACGAAGACGTTTGAACACGGCGGAGAGAGGAGCTTTTTCAGACCATTGTACGGTGTCAACTCGAAATTCTCGTTGAGCAGATCGACATCGATCGTGGAATTAAGACACACCACGCCCACCGCCGAGCCGTCCGCAGGATCCTCTCCGATGATCGATCGACGACAACTGTTTGGCTGACGAATCATCTCACTGATGCAATACCGCCCGTAACGCTCACCAGTCTCACCGTCGACGATCGCTATCACATCGTCGTGGTCCTCCTCCCTATAACGATATACCAATGTCGTCACGGAAAGACAAGTTGGAAAATATGATTCGCGCTCGACTCACACGACTCTTCGTATTTTTAACTTTGGACAGAAACGATATCGATCCGCCAGATAGAGAAATTGCAGCGCGTCTCGCTCGACGTCCCGCGTGGCGGTCTTGGCCAAGACTTTGCTCATCTCTCGCTCAAACACGCTCAAATTTCCTAGAGAATGGACACGAATGTGGTGGATCGATGAAAATCGAGAAGAGGAAGAAAAATCACCTGGCGTAACTCGAGGAGGTACCACTAGGATCACGTATTGGCAGTAGGTGGTCATGTCGAAAACCGCAGCCAATAACTCTGCGAGGAACTTGTTTGAGTAACGCTCGTCCCACACGAGCAAGTGCACAAACATAGTATTTCTTTCCGTGGCGGTGAGAATCCTTTTTTTTCACGTGTATATATATTTTTTTTTTGTAAAAGCGCCGAATGATGTAGCGAAATTTGACAGATATCGTTACCCATAGATCGTTTTTAACCAGGTGAACCAATCGTACGGCGGCACGGATGGAACATTGGGATAATTGCAGAGGCATATCCCCGAAACAATGTCGCATCTCTCGTTGTATTGGGCCACCGAGAGGCAGGAAGCCTCGCTGTAACGTAACCGATACATTGATAACGAGTGGGCGCATAACTGTTACGAGGTGTACAACAACTCGCTGCAAGTACTAGAGTCGTTCCAATTTCACGTCTCCGAAAATTTCGCGAGTCGTCCAACATCGCAGGCGCTCTAAACTTGATAAATCCGTGTGTTGGACGCGACGCGACCCCGAGATTTTGCTAAACTCTTTCGACTCGCCGAGCCAGGTAAACATCTCTACTCTTGATATTGACGGCTGTGAATTGTGATGCAAATAATCGTCGGGCAATTTTTTGTCGATTCTCACTTCGGATAGTATTCACGTCAAAGTTTGCCCGATTGCTGTCGCAACATATATTATCGCTCTGGCTAATTTTCGGCGACTCGCGCGGAATGATTCCGACAATAAATCCTTTTCCTCTCAGCTTTTCTCGTTGGTTGCCCGAGACGTTGCCAAATGGTGTCGAGCCCCGACTATCTTTGGCTCGCGGCGTTTCCAAGTTATTAAGATAATGACTTTGGTCACGCGAGTAGCGCTTCTCTCTCTAGAAAGAGGAAAAATTTTCGGCCATTTCACAAACAAGGACGAAGCGGTTGGAAACGTGGTCGAGTGAATAAAGATTTGACGCGATCGGCAAGCTGCTCCGTGACATGTAGATATTCGTCGTAAGCCACCTTGATCTTTATAAGAATAGTCTAGAGGACTTGTAGTCTATTCTTTTCGTATGTTGTATGGGATTGCATCTCGACATGCATCTCTGCAGCCTGGTGGAGGCGCAGTGAGAAACGGTAAACTGAAAAACCGCTGCAATGTGACTTCTTCAAAGTCCCCTGATGCGCGCAAACGCGCTGTGTGAATCGGTGTGTAGCTCGCATGCGCGCCGCGGCCGAAATAATCAATTTTAAATGGATCGCGTAATTTCTTCCGTCCAATTCCATATATAACTGACGGTAAACGGTCAAGTACGAGTATATTTTACAACTATAACGTACCTCTCTTGTAAAGTTGTAGGATAGGAGTGACGCAGCCTCGAGAGAGGTTTATTCCGTATCGGCCGGAGAGAAAACCACTCACGTGAAACACCCGACGACGGTACGCACGCGACTGACTTTCAGCTAAACGTAGCGTAAAACACAAAGAGCATAGAGTGGGAGGAGGCGAAACTGTTTTCTACATCCATCCGGCCGACAGATAGATGCAGCTTTAAAATAACATGTACACGTTGGCGGTTAGAGAATTTTAATATAGGAAATTATAGTGCACGCTATAAAATTTTCGCGCACTCGTAACTCGAGTCTAGGCACGTTACGAGTTACGTGGCCTTGACCCGATAGCTTTACTTTACTGTCGGAATTGTTACTCTCTCGTCGCACAATTTATACATATATACGCACGCGTTAAAACTATTCATCATTTCTCGATGCAGAATTTCGCGGCGATTCGTAGATTCGTAGGATTCGTAGGATTCGTAGGATTCGTAGACTGGGGACTTGGAGGAATGAATTTTCAAGCTTCTAAAAATACAATGTTTATTCAACGTAAAGATATGTTAGAAATTTAAATAACAGCATTTCAGCTAATAAACTAACATTAATCTCTTAATCTGCCACTTTGAACCTTCTTATTGATCTCTCGATAGAATCGGACGTATGCAAAGAAAAGGAAAGATTCAGCGAAATTAGTGAAATCACTTTGTATTCTCTCTCGACATTATTATTACATCATCTCATATACATCGTGTCATTATTTCTAATTACAGTGAATTTAGCAGAAATGTTACTCGCGCGCAAGTTGAAAAGGATATACATGTATAATTCGCTCCAGTCTTCTTTATGCTTACGTATACTCGACGACATATCAGCCTTGACACTTGAAATAAAGATAAGTATCGAGTGAGACGTCGTGATTTTGTCTAAAATAGGAAATTATGCGATTGAAAAATGGAAGCGCGCAGCATGACGTCATTGTATGTATAATGATGATAGCGTAACAACGATCCAAAAATATATTTAGACATCTATCGAATCGGCAAAGAGCCAAAGTTTGGAAACTATACCTTCGTACTTTCGTATAATTCTCCTCTAACGACAAGAGTTAAGATATTGTCACAAGTTATTTACAAGAAAGACTCGAGTGGAAAGACTCGCGATACAATTTAACGTGTAGTATTACTTGGCGATCAGGTTGGAGTGGTAAAGAAAGCCGAGCGAGATTCCATCGTCAAAGTTGATGATATGAAAAAAAAGAAGAAGGGAAGATTTGATGTAAAATATATCACAAGATGCGCGTGAAAAGCCTGTGTCTTTGTCTTCACCTGCCCTCGTCCGAACGCTCGTGCAACTGTCCCCGATTATTCATACGAGATTGTACATTCGAATTCCGTCTAGTTTGCACAATCGCGCCATCTCCGAGGTCGTTTTCTTCTTCTTCTTCGTCTTCTTCTTCGGTGGCGCCGCCAGCGTATTCTCCGTTTTGCACGTTTTCAACTTTATACAATATATCGTGGCAAAGAGGACATCGGTCTTGAACGTACAACCATTTACGCAAGCATACACCGTGGAAATAATGATTGCATTGGGTGATCTTGGCGCTTTGCATCTCCTGATAGCAAATCGCGCAAACGTCGTCCAATCGTTGGAGTTGTTCGGCTTTCGCCTCCGGCAAGGAATTGATCTTGTTGACAGCGGTCCATCGTTTCATAAAGACGCTCCAGCCAGCCTTCGCTTCGCACCAGATGTTAAAGTAGGCGTGTATGCACATCATGATGGCGCGGATAGCTCCGCCAGACTCAAAGATCAATATCCAGAAACCGTTGAAGAATAATATAATGCCAAAAGCGAATTCCACCGTATTGCCGAAGGACCTTATTATGTAGACGCAATCGTCAAATTGTTCCCAGAAGACGCTCCTGTAGGCGTCGATGAGAAAGAGCGAGTAGATTGCTAGCGAGACCAGTACTTTGACTATCACCTCGACACTAAAGACCGACACAGCGAGTAGCCAGGTGCTCACTGTAAAGTGGGACCAGAGGAACACGAGTAAGGATACGGGGAAGAATATTAGAAAAGCACAGACCGCCAAAGCGCGCAGATGCCTGTGTAGTGCCGGATTGTGAGAGGCGCTGAGTGACATGAGGAGTGGATTCACGATATTGTGGACAAAGTGTAAAATTGCCGTGAACAATAGGCAAAAGTTACGATACAGTCGTACCAGACGCTTCTCTCGGTCGAGACTCGTCAGCCCGGTCTGTAGGGCAAGGATGTAGAACAATATCGCCGACACCGTGCCGATACTCTTCTCATCCTCGTCCTCCGTCAGTAGTATCCATTGGAAGAAGCAGCCGATGTAGTGGCAGATGAAGGAGATTATGCTGGTCATACCGAGAACAGCTGTCAACGTTTCGCACCCATTAACCAGCAGCGTTCTGACCATGACGTAATAACTAAACGTCTCCTCGCCGTAGTGACTCCCGAGCATTTCCACCACTTGCTCTGCCACTCGCAGCATCCAAAAGGCCCGAAGTACGCATGGGACATTGAGACGCATCCATTCAGTCTCCGCGAGCGCGGACAAGCCGTAATTGCTGATAAAGTTGCGCGCGTGCCGATAGCCCATGTAGATTGTTCTCAACATGGAGACGCCGTTGTACCAGATGACAAATTTACATAGAGCCAGCGGGATTAACGTTGCGCACACTGGCGCCTGGTGGAGATATTGCGCCTAGGGAAAAGGACATAACATCGATTGTTAAATCGATGGGAATACGTTGTCCCAGAAAGAATGAATGCCGAGGTAATAGCTTACCGGTAAAAGATAGATACCCAAGATGGACGGTGACATGAAGCTCAGCACGAGAAGCTTTTGGAGTACGGGATGCCGCGGGGCAAGATGAATGTAACAAAAGACGCTGGCTAGCACGCACTGCAGCACATAGTTTTTCATTATTAGAAAGCCTGGGCCGTTGTAGAGAACGTCCGATAGATTCAGGCATAATATATTGTCGAGTATGCTGCTCGTTGATCCGTGAGCGTTCGTGTAAGCTATAATCGCTTTCATCACACTGACATTTGACCAGTAGGACAAGAGTATCACTACTACAGATATCAGATATAGGTATACGATGATCAAATGTCTAGTGCATAGCATGAATGTGTACAAGGCTGCGAAAAAACCTGAAACCAAGAAGGCAGTAAACAACCGTGCAAAAACACAACTTACCTGTGGCAAAATTACAACTTACCTGTGCAACAGAAGAGAAACTTCAACAAGAGTATCAGATTATTGTAAGTGAGCGGAATGAAATCAAACTGTTCCACCAGCAACCAGTCTGTCGTAGCTGCGGAGATGGAGCTGGCGATGCTCGACAAATTGTTGCTAGTTTTGAAATCATGCTCGGTACTTTTCAGCACAATATTGTCGTTGGGTAAACCAAGGCCGATTCTAAGTAACTCGTCGATGATGAATAGAGGTGGCACTCTCATTACAACGTCGGCAAAGCTCAGAATTCTTTCCCGTATCTCCATCTTGCTAGTTGGAGGGAGGCAGACTTATGCATACGTTGGCATGATACGTGCAAGTAGCATACTGTTGTAGAATCGTACAAAGACCTATCGAAAATAATTGCAAGAAATGGCTCGACTGCAGCGAGGTTAGAATATTCAAAACATTACATCCTAGCCAAAGTGTAGCAAATGAATTTCAATGGGAATTATTATGCATTATATCGCTTACCCCAGCTTACCGCAGAAATGAAAAGTTTGCTGTATGCATCATCTCGAATCGGCTACAAGGCTCAATTTCCGTTACAAGTTGGTCAGTTGTCAAAGCGGAGTTAACGTCAAGTCGAATGGACCTAACCTCGTCGAAGCATATGAAAATTGAAATGAGTCCTTTCCGAAATATGACGCGAGAAACTTACCAATGATCGAGGAGGCAAGTCAATTCGCAGGTGACAATGGTGACATTTCGTCACCGTCTGCGGTGACTCTCCAATACTCGGAATGACTCGACACTCGTCAACAATCAACAACACCTACGAGAATGACTCTGAATAACTCGAATCGAACGCGAATCGACAAGACGCTCGAGTTGACAACGTCTCTTGGATCGTCAGACAATGACGAATAATTAGTCCTTTCACTTCATTTTCAGTCAAGATTCAGTCAATTCACCAGGAGGAAGAAGCGTGGAGCGAGAAGAGAGCTACTTACAGCCTTTACTCATTTCTACTCGTCTCTAGCCAGCAGCAATTTCAATTTTCACCCTCTCTCTTGAGGGATGCAAGACTAGAATTGTACGCTCGTTTACCAAGGAATCCAAGGAATTAAAGAACATCGAGTTACAAGAAACGTAATAATACGCAATTTATTGGCTCTGGAAACAGCGCACAAGATATATCTAAATGATCTTCCAATGAGCGATGATTCGGAATATATAATATTTGAAAGCATTTCTTATTCTGTAGAATTCATTTCAAAATCACAATGATAAAAGAAAACTACCTCTCTCCCCGCTCCCATTGCCGCAAATCGAAAATGAAGATGAAAGTCTCTATACCATAAAAAATTACATGCATATATCTTTTCGTTTCACAATCAGCTGTCTTAATAATTTTCTTACCAAGTTATCACGAAGCAGTTTTCCACGCTAATAAGAAATATAGATTTATGTTTATATTCACAATTCATATTTCAAACTCACACGCAACCTAAAGAAACACCTTCTTCGCTCGTACATATCCATCTCGGTCTATCTCGGTAAAAACATCGAGTTCTTCCTTCATAAAAATGACTCAATTATGTCGTAATAAACATGTACAGTAAGAGTAAAATATCGATGCGCAAGTGGACTGATAAATGGTACACACCTCTCGATGCTCGATTAGACGCCCGTGTGAGTTTTCAACATGAACATTCCGTGATATTTATCAAAGTTACATTATGCTGGTGTACATTATTCGGCAAATATTTTATTTGTATAAACTCTGCAAGCCCAGCTTACCATCGTCACAAATGCACTTTTAGGTTTATTTTATTTTATATTCGTGTACGAAATTGCTGCTTATATCTGTACGAGTATAAGAGTGTCGATAAATTATTAAGAAAGATTAGAAAATCTGTATTCCATATCTATGCCATTTCCGTTCATCTCCCAATCGGGGCATACCTTGGTTTTCTTTTTTAGAAAATGACGATTGATATTTTATTATACATTGTTGTCTTTAGTCGGCGCCACTTATTGCTTCATATATTTATAGAGTAGCAACATTTGCTTTTTTTCAGATGTACATAATATAAGGAGAGATGCCGGCTTATTAGAATTTCTACCATTATTTTGACTCGTATTGGCGACTGAGACAAATAATTGCTTCGCGAGAGTAATAAACTAACTTGAGAAAATAGGCCTTTACGTCTAACAAGCGTGGTACGGCGAATTATATACCGAATTGTAGACAAATAATGTAGAAACAGGTTAACTCCTCATAGTGGTAACTGTCGTTATTTCAATTCTACAAGTACAAACCTATTGGTAAATCTTATTTACTTACGTCGAGGTCAGTAACGCTCGGATCAGACTTTTAGATTAGCCGCAAAGTGATTTGTAGGAGGGACATCTCTCTCTCTCTCTCTCTTTCACACACAATTCAAATGACAATATGTAAAATTACAATAATTACAGATTAATCTCATTGGCACGACTGACCCCTTTCGCTTCATTTCTCTTTTTCGCACAACGCTACTTAGGCATGTCAATTGAGGAAAACTTAAACGTTTGTACCACGTGCATGAATTGTTAAGCGAGAGCACCTCGGTAGTCACACATACACCGTGCGACATGGCACAAATTTTACAACACAAGCAAAACATTTAAAAGTTATATATCAACTGCCAACACGAGTCTGCGAATTGATTCTGCCGAATGCGTTTGAGCTAGCGAATTTATTGATAGCCTGGAGAGAGAGAGTTATGCGTTTGCACATCTCTTTTCATACACATATGCACGCGACAAAGTATGGGGTGCACTGTAATCCTGGTATGTCTATGTGTATATAGTATGTATGAAGGTGAGCTGCGTGGACGGCGCTACGTACACCACTCCTCGGTCAGTCAACTACTGACAGACTAGTAGTCGACTATCGTCACTCGGGGACACCCGTGCTTCCACTGGGAGTGTTTTCAGTTCAACGTGCCTAGCTCACGTCAATATATACCGTTGTATAATCTACAAGGACAGAGACAATCGTTTACGTAAAAAATTCGTAATATTCCATAAATACTTGAGTAATTTACGCACTTGCATACAGATATGCTAGAGTTTGTCTTGGAATAGGAAGAGATTGTTCGTTGCAGCGACAGCCACCACATTTTCAGATGGATGCCACGCAGTGTGAAGTATTTTCTTATTAAAGTCCAAACAGTCGACGCTAATCTCATCCTTCTTGCGCTTGCCACCGGTGCATACCTACGCAAATGGAAATGTAAGCAAATACTTGTAAGAAGAATAAAACGAGTGCTAACTCGTGCGCTAACCTTCCTTGGCTTCAGGAGTGTCTTGGGTTTGGCAATGTCGCGTGCTGCCTCCAAAGTAAGATCGCGTTTGGTCGTACGATCGAATACTCGGAAGAAATTGTTGTACGAGCCCGTCATAATAGCAGAGTCATTACCGCTCCAACAACATTCAAATTTGTCAAAGATGCAATCGTTTTCGTACAGCGAGCATAATTTTGATCTCAAGTATTCGTGTACCTGTTGCGAGAGAGAGAGAGAGATTGGTTAGCACGTTTGCAACGAGTTTAGCAGAATGTAGAAATACTTACGGGATAACATTCGATTGGTTTCGTCTCCATTTGCAAGTCCCACACTTTGACGCTGAGGTAGTCTCTACTGATCATATATCTTCCAGAATTACTAAGCTTCACGTCGCTGATGCTTGAAATAATTTCGGAGAAAAAACTCCTATTAGTCGGATCCTCGGGCTCTTCGAAAAGCTTACTGTGCTGATCGCAGAGAGCAGCGGATCTCATGTCGCAAAGTCTAATAGTTCCTTTGCTACTACTGTACACCAACACGTTACATTCCGCAGGATGAAATTCCGCGGCAGTTATCACCTCCGTCAACTCTTCCATATTAGTTGGCTTAATGTCTACTATATTAAAACTCTGGTCAGTTATCTCAAGGTGCCAAAGATTAATTCTAAGATCATCAGCACTGAGGTATGTCTCTTGATCACTGTTGACACTTATACTGTTTATGTGATAGGTGTGCGCATTGGCGAATATCCTCCTTGGTGATGCCTCTACCATCAACTCCATTGGTTTTATGGTTGGCACCTAACGCGGGTAGAATGGCAAATTATCTCCTCTTATAAGATTATAATAACAAGTTGAAAATCTCTTACCCTCAAGGCAGTGATGCAGGCAGGATCGCGTATCGTGCCATTCTCCTCTTTTGTATTATACCCCTCCACCCTTTTATCTCTCTCGCTAACTTTCCACAACTTTATTGTTTTATCGTTTGTGGAGAGCAAAAAGTGGGCGGGGTTCTTTCTCTTTAGCCACCTAATTTTATTTATTTTTTCTTCTATCTCTAGTGATTTTAGGTAATCGAACTCTGGCTCGTGGCTCTGGAAAGTGCTATACACATTGTACTCGCCTCTTCGTGGTATACTGTTTTTACTCTGTGTTAAACAATTGTCATCATTTACCAACTAACTTGAGTATAACTTGAGTTGACCAACAATCCGAGTATCACAAACTTTATAACCCATCTAAGCAATCAATTGAGACTCTGTTGAGACTCGGAAGAGCCCTTTCACCCAATAGATTATATAATTCGTCACAATTATGCATACGTATAGTGAAAAATTAAAAGTGACAATTGGATTGTTTCACACATTTTTCTATCTTTTACAACAGCACTTACAATGGGGTCTCTCTGAAAAATGACAACGCGTCCACCCTTGTCTCCTGTCGCGAGGAGATCACCATCGTGATTAAACTCAACGCATGAGATTATATCAGCTGCAATAAAAAAACACTCGTATTTATTTTTCTACAGTATTGATTGAATCGCGAGTCAAGAATCTCTCGGTAATTACGTGAGATGAGGAGAATTTTGACTCTTTGATTCGCGACTAGTCGTTTTATTTTGGTATGTGCAAACTGATAAGATAAAAGACAAAATGCCCCCCCCCCCCCTCTCTCTCTCTCTCCCTCTGGAGCTATGCAAACACCGGTCAAACTTGCCTTCCGTAACGTCGTCTTCTAAGGTCCCCTTCACTTGCGAGAAGCACCACTGTATGTCACCATTGCCTGTAAAATTCGAGTGGTTTTAAAACGCTTCATCAACATTCAACACTCGTTACTCGTTTGTCTTAAATTTGACACAACTTGGGGAATGGTAATGAAAATTATTCTGGAATTTTCTTAATCAGAGAAATCAATGCGTTTGAGTCTTTGTCAACAGCAGCTTTCCAGTAATAGCGGATAAAGAAATAGAGGTGGAATTTATACAATCTACACAAACAAGTCAACACAAGTCATTCATTAGTCTTGTTTAGAAATACGGGAATTAAAAATGTTTCGCAAAGCCTTGAAATTGAACAAATTTACGTATGTACACAAGTAGACGTGTAAACGGGTGTTTTCGCATACCAAGTTGAAAGGAGCAAAGCAAAACTACTGCTATGCACCTACGCATCTCAATTGAATTTGCAAGTTTTGCGGCGTTACTTGAAACTGAAATGTGTCTACAAAAGCGAGTAAAGAGATCATCTGTTGGAAAATAGTTGTTCAGTCTTGTTGGAGTCATTTGGGAAACACTGTACTGAGCGATAGAGCGAAGAGAAGCGAGGGGGGAGGGGGACACGGGTGAAGATGGCCGGTACTTGGTCTTCCTGCGAAGGTCGCGCGAAAATTGATACGATTGCGGAGAATAGATGGGGAGAAGAGAGGTAAAAGTGAGCCTACTTGAAGTTTCGGCGTAATCCATCGTGTTTCTAGGCCGCTGCCGTTGCCGCCACCGCCGCCGCCGCCGCCGCCGCCGCCGCAGGGGCCACCACCGCCGCCGCCGTCGCCGCCGCTGCCGCTGCTGCTGCCGCCGCCGCCGCTGCCACCGCCACCGCCACCGCCACCACCGCCGTCGCTGCCACCGCCGTCGCCGCTGTCGCCGCTGTTGTCACCGTCGCCGGCGACAGGCACATAGGTGTCTGTCCCCCCCACGCGCACAGGAAGACTCCGGAGTGTGGGCGCGCAAAGGATGCGGACGAGTACTCTGGAGCGCGCGCGACCCTAATCTGGGTCAAGGTTCACCTCGTCGCGGCGAGGCGAAGAGGCGAAGAGGCGAAGAGGCGAAGAGGCGAAAAGGCAAAGAGGCGACGAGGCGACGAGGCGACGAGGCTAAGAGGCGAGGAGACGAGGAGGCGCCAAGAGGCCGCGAGAGGCAAAGAGACTCGAGCAGGGGAGCAGGAGCAGAGAGCGAAACGTCGTAGGATGCGCCGCCGGCTTATCGAGAGTTCTCGGCAGCTAGAGCACTACTTACCGGCCATCTCGACACGAAACACGAGGGACACACGCGCGAATCGTACGGGCGAGCGCACACGCTCTCTCTCTCTCTCTCTCGGGCAGGAGTCAGGACACGTCCGCGTGCGCGCGCGCACGCGAGCCACCACGCCGGCGACGAGGAGATCGTTCGCTACGCGAGAAACACGCGAGATCCCGGGCCGTGCGCGCCACCGATCCTCTGTCACATATTTCCGGCCAAGCACCGTGCCATAAAGCGCTCTCGACGTAACGCGGCTGCTCTCAATGGCGGAAGTTCACAGGCGCATAACCGCACAACACGACTATGGCGTGACGTCACTGCGCAACCAGGTTTCGCTACCTCCGCGGTAACCACCATCTTACACGCGGTGCTCGGCGACGCGAGGAGTCTGCGCGAACGTGTCCCCGAGTCGGCCCGAGAATGCACGAGGATAGCCGAGCTACGCTACGCGGCAACTTTGAAGAGTTGTTATCCGTATTTCTCGAGAAGGCAAAGCAAACGATCCTAAAAATGTAAAAGTCTTCCTTTTCAGAGTTTCGAGGAGGCATCCACCGTACAAGAGAGTGGCTTCTAATCGCAAACCGGCCTAATAACAACAACAAACGCGGAGATCACTAGGCACAAGCGTGTTACCAGTGTGATCATGACATTTGTTAGTACACTGCTATTCCAAGGAGAGAGATAGGACTCGAATGCTAAAGGATTTATTATTGTCATGCAATTCCTCGAGAGAAGAAAAGAGCGGCGTGCGAGTCCGCTCGAATCCTAAATGTCGAAATTTAGCCCTGACGAGCGCGTTTGCGTTGATGATGAATTCGCAGAATCGAAAGAGATCGAACGTATTAGAGCCGCTACGCTAATACATTCGCACTAACGAGATGAGCCGCGAGCCAATCGGTACTCACGGAGGTCGGCGCAAGTGGCATCCGCATCCTTCTCTTCCTTCCACTTGGCTATCACGTAACGAACCATATTTTCGTTGGAATCGACAGGCGACAACACGGCGTTGCTTCCAACACGCACGCGATCTGACGAATGCGTCCCCGGACTTCGACTTGTCCCGCGCAATGTCGATCACCTGGGAGAGTGTTTACGCCAAAAATTAAATCCCTAACTTTTCGCGGTGGGCACACGTGGGCACACGTATCGGCCACGCTACGTACACGGCAGATGATTTGTAAAACGAAAGCTGATCAAAGCCAGTAACAGAGAGATAATTATAAACAAGGATACTGTTGCTATTCATAATATACATAAGCGATGCAGTTGTTCGCAAGAGTGTAGTGAAACGAGATGCGAGAAGAGAGAGAGAGAGAGAGCAAGCGTTTAATAGTGTAATTAAGTCTGATTGTTTGAAACTCTGATAAACCTAATGATGGAATGGAATGGAATGGAATGGAATGGAATGGAATGGATGTGTACATACGGGATGAAAGGAATGGTCAACTCGACGAAGGAGTAAGCGCAATGTAATTTCTCTGATAAAGAATTCAAGCCGAAATACTCTGGATCGATCGAAACGAAATACCGCGCGCTTCTTGAAACTCAAGTGAAATTGAAAGAAATGGCACGATGACTTACTGTAAATGATCGATAACGGTGAAGAGTTGTATAAATTTAGAAAGGGCATTCCATCGAGGGAAAAGATGCATCCCTTATCGGAAAGAGCTCGACTCACCGGCGCGTTTGTTGACGGCGGTGTTGATGATGGAACCGAGTTTCGTGAGGCTGGACTGCCTCATGATGTTCGAGGGACTCTTCATCCGTTTGGATGGTGGTACCGGAAGCGGGGCGGTCTTGGCCCGTGCCAGGACGGCACCGCCGTTCCGGCAGTTTCCGATTGGACTCGAGCCGGGGGACCGCTGGGGCGGAGCCCCCCATAGACCCACCACCCCGGCGTGACGCGTGATGACACCTTCCTGCCAGCTGTTATCCTCGTCGCCTCGTCGCTGGAAAACGAAATCTGTCTCTAAAGTCTTCTTATCTAAAATCTTATCACGTGCCACGTTAACATTTTTATCCATTCTGCACATTTTCTTCTATACTCGCACAACTATATTACATTTCATAAATGTTGTCCAAGGCACAATCGCGAACCTAAGATTTAAGTATGCATCTGTAGCCTGGGAAAAAGTACGAAATGGTTAATCTCTACTACCTAACGATTCAAATGGTAAGGTCACTATATGGATTACACTCGCGCGACCCGCTCCGTTCTCCATTTCAACAAATTCCTGAGCAGCCGTCAACAGATTATTCATTGAGAAATAAGCTTGCAGGAAAGAGGTAACGTGTGTCACCATAATCGTGAGCTTTCCCCAACATCGCTCGTAGGTCGTAGCTCGTATATTCGTATATTCGTATACTCGTATACTCGTATACTCGTATACTCGTATACTCGAGGCTTCCCAGCAATTTTCATTTATTAAATTCAAGCTGCGCATTCCATATCAATTATTTCAAAAATTTTCATTATTTAGCTTTGTGTGATGGGATCGGCCATTATTTAAGTAATGAAGGAAATACTATCTTAGTGGGCTAAAACAATTAGTAGTAGGTCATCTCGATGAATCCCTACAACTGCCCTATAACTGTTACTTTTGTAAGACTTCACCCCTTTCTTTTCTTTCTTATATCTCGCTGGCAAATACATCAACGTGAGATTCTACCGATTATGTTAGTGGAGACAAAGAAAAATGGCTCATTTCAAGTTGATATCTTACCGAGATATGTAGTAATAAAGAGTTATCTCGAGCCGAGTCTATGTACATAAAGTTACAATACAAATAGTATTATATTAGTGTCGTTGGTTGCTCGTGCAGGGAGATTGATAAATGCTACGTCCACGATGTCCTTGTGGAAGATGGTCGTCTCTTTCGGCGTAGCATAGTAGGTGCACGCGCACCAGCTTTCGCGACAAGAGAAAGAAGAGATCGGACGGTTAAAAGACAGAGAGGACTCGCGGATCGATAGGTCGTGGCTTTATTGACTTGGAAAACCGCGTGCTAAAGAAACACAATGGTGTCGGAGGCTTGAAATCTTATGTAAATTAGAAGAAATTGCTGTGAGAATTGGTCAAGTAACGGTAGTGATAGTAAATTCGGTTTAACGTGAGTATTCGGACGTGGCAACCAGCGAAAGCAGGAGCAAGAGTTTGGAATCGCGATTATCCCTTGTTCCCTGTCTTTGGGAAAGGAAAATCTTTCTTAAATGGTGAAAAAGCGCAAATAAGAGAGTTTGAAAGAGTGGGCCAAGGTGAGCACCGGTTACATTCGGAATTCAATTGGCATCGGTGGTGTCTTGCGACGTGACCTTGCTCGTCACGCTAAGATTTTTCACTCCGAGGACGCATTCTTTTATATTCATTCGGGCGGCAAGTTTCACGACATAATTAAGACATAAGCCGTTGATCGAGCATTCATCACCTTCGTTGCGCAATCGTCCAACATGTGCGGCGGAATATATCGTGTTTAGATTATCAAAGCCCGAAATGGAAAACAGGTGCGACATTTCCTTCGATGACGTCAAATGGCAAAAGGAAATATACGTGGAATTTGAGTGTATTTTTGGCCGAATCGATGAATCGGCAATCACCTTGCGCTGGTTCATCAAGTAACAACGATCAAAGACCGGCAAGCGAGCAAGGCGACGAAGGCGTAACCGGAAAGGCTCATTTGCCAAGTGGTAATAGGTGTTTGCGACCCAGTGACCCTCAACGATCAACTCTCCTTTGCGATCAGTGTTTCGACAGGTGCGAGGTAAAATGAGGCAAACGTTTTCGCGCCATTTCTCGTCGACGCACGTGCGTGCCACAATTGAAAAGTAATGAGAAGAAGCCCTCGACGTGTCGCCAAGAGTGACTAAAGAGGAAACGTATCTGGGTTAAACGCAGTCGGCAACTTGCGCAACTCCCGATGGCTTTCGAGAATAGAGCATCTATCGAGACTCACCCGTAGGGCTAACGGATCCTGCTAGATCCCTGCTGGCGAGTCAAGTGCTGGCGACCACGTCCTCCGGCCCGGAGCACGATATAACTCGGTGTCGACGACTCCGCCGTCAGGGTTACCGCGAGGCTACCGCAGCTGTCTTTTAGGAGGCGATGCGCGTTCAGTCTTACACCGATTGGTGTTTACTACTGAGTGAGTACTCGCACGAGTGTCGAGCTTACGAGCTGTCGAGTACGCCGAACCGAACCGAGCCGAGCCACATTGCGTCGCGTCGCGTCGCGTCGCGCCTCACCTCGCCTCGCCTCGCCTCGCCTCGCCGGCCTCGCCTCGTCTCGTCTCGCCGCTTACCCCCGGCCCCGCCACGCCGCTTCGTATTGCCGGAGTGTCGGAGCAGCCGGAGCAGTCGGAGCAGTCTAGCGCATCGAACTAGGCCATGACAAATTACGATACGATACCAATTTTTTCTTACAAACTCTAGTTGAAATATTCCATTTTATTCTACTTTTTGTCTTGGTACATTCAAAGTGTAAATCTGCTGGTACAAAACTTGCAAGTTTGAATATTACCATTTCTTAAAAATTGCATTGATATGTGCTCGATTGTTGTAATTTTCAGACGAGTGAATCTTGGATCGCTCCGAGACGTACGCGTAATAACCCTCGACGAGACACACTTCTTCGTACAGGTCTTCCGTTGACATTTCGACAACACTCGCGCTTTCATTTAATAACCATCGAAAACTCCTCGGCAGCATTTTCTCCAGTAAATCAAAATTCTTTGGTTTCACGCGGCTAAAATTGCAATGATACATCCAATAATCTTGAAAGGGTTTAAACAATCTAAGAACCTTGTCCTCCATAGGTGCGTTAATACTCGAGTTTGAATTATCGGGAATCTCTGGCAGTATATTTTCAATTTTGCAAGTATTTGCTGAAATCGTGTCGATTTCCTCCGCAGAAGAATCGCCGTCACTTGGATATGGCTTAACAAATTTACCGTGCACGTTTCGAACAAGTTTGCGGCGCTTCCGTTTCTTCGACCAGTTTAAATGTTGAAATATAGCTTTCTTCTCCGTACTCGAGAGATTTGTATTGTACGCCTTACAAAACTTGATCAACGACGATGCCTCACTCTCGTCTGCACTTTCACCCGGGATTGACAATTTACCGTCTGGCAGAGTCTCGCCAAATATAAATTCTGATGACGCGAAGGTGCCTTTTTCCCGCGCGCACACATCTGTACTCGCGGTAACCCGAATATCGTCATAGCACTTGATCTTTTTTCCATCAATTTTAAGATGACACGGTATCTTTTTATGTAGATAATCGATAAAATCTTCCTTTCTTTCAACGCACTTTGCATCCTCTTCCATAAAGTCCTCTATCGCGTCGTCGCTCTTCAATTCTTTCATACTGGCGATTTTTGCTTGCTCGAAAAGTGTAACAGTTTTTTCAAGAAAATGCAAATTTGATTCAACGGAAGCCAATTGAATGCCGTATTGCAAAGCCAATTTGTAGACACTAAAAGAAACAAAAGAATTACAATGTTTTGCACAAAAGTCCTTTCTCAAGGTATATTTACTTACGATTCCGATCTCGTCAAGTATCCACTTTTTGCAGACGAAAAGTCACTTTGGAGCATACTCGGGAGATCGTATAGCGGGTGTCGCAACAATTGTTGAAGATACGAGTGATTTGGCGTTAATGTCGGGGAAAATGTATTTACCTTGTTGAGCGGTAAATCACTGCCACTTACGTTGCCAATACACTGTTTCAGTGCGTAAACAAGATCACGTGGTATCAAATGCTTGTGCATAATTATCTCGGGCTCCCCTCTGTCTGCTTTTGAATCAACGGACTCGAAAAATTTCATATACAAGCTATTCACATCTGGTACGTTTGGATTATATTTTAACTTGGTGGGACAATGCGCGTTAATTAAAATAGCTTTTCTACACTCGACATACTTCTGCCACTCACGAAAGCTGAACAGCTTTGTGTCGCAAATACCTTCGTCACTGATTGCACTGGAAAAAGAAAAAAGGAAGAAGCAACGTTACATCGCGACACGATGACGAGATATCGAGATAGGATCGTTTACAAGAGGAAAATGGCAATTGCAGGGAAGACGTTTCCGGCATTCGGTATACTTTTCCACGTTTCTCTCGTCTAAAGTTGCACCGAATGTCACGCAGTCGTTCGTAATGACAGCATAGGGCATTTTATGCCAAGTAAAATACACGTCCCATTCCCCAGATCTCTTAAAGACAATGCCCCCGAAATGACGATCTACACATCTAGTTGACATGTAATCAAGATTTCTCTTCAAAGCTCTTCGCAGGGAGCATCCTTTTTCGATGTCGCTCGCAATGACCCTTGACAAGCCAAGTTTCATAATAGATTCTCCATGACCAGTCAGAGAACATGCTAGATTTCGATTGGCGTACGTGCCGCAACCTAATATAGAAGAGTCGCCTACGCTGCCGACAATTTTTCGGTTTGAACCACCGCTTGTAACACCCGCGGCTATAGCGTATCCGTCGTAAGCTATACAGCCAACGGTACTCCCACTACCTATGTAGACGTCAAAATCACTTGAACAATTCGAGAGATTAGAGTTGCACCTTTGAAACTTTCCAGGTAAATCTATCATTTACTTTCTAATACTTGTGACGACGACTCATCATCTCCGACACTCAAATTAATAACAGAACTGCCCATTTCTTTCAATTTGTCGCAAGTCAAATAAGCTGCCGTGGGTGCTGTCATATTTCCTTTCGATAGCCAATTTAATTTGGCTGTTAACTTTCTCGCGCCTTCCCCCACTACGATAGAATTGGGGAAATGATCCAAAACGTATCGGGCAAGAGATATCGGATGTTCTACGTCCGATATCGCGGCTACAGATCCACATTCCGACTTGAAGCCGTCTACTATGCTCGCATCCATTTGTACATCACCTATTTATACCTATATTCTTCAATATCTAAATACATCTTTACGCCTACATGAATTTGAAATCTAAGCACATTTTCATACCTATACTATTTAAAACCGATCCATAACCACAATTGAAAAACTCATCGCATTCTAACCACCATAGCGCACTTTCTACAGCCTGTACCGAACTTGCGCCACTTAACAAACTTTGATATCCAGTGTATGCTGCATTTTTACAACTCGTCGTTTTCTCAATAATTAGCGCGTCATGAAAATGCCCAACGTCACCGTGCACGAGGATACATGGAATACTCGAGTTTTCGCATTGACACTGCATTATAATAGCACTCTTACAAATTTAATCAAGTCAAATCATATCATGCATTCAACTGTTACACGATTGTACATTATTATATCGAGTTGAAATTGTGTCAAATCCTCACACACGTTTCAACGTATATATTACATTGTAAGACAGTTACCTATTAATCTTGTCGGCAACATTGCTAATTTCATTTTCCGTAATGCCATCCAAACCCAGCAATGTTTTCAGCACTACAATAATAAATGCCATGGCACGGCCTTCGTAATTAGGGATACAGAATCTTTTATCAAACCTCATTTTCGGAACGGATAAACTTACGAGTCTCTCCGCATACGATGATATACCTTCTACAAATATCGTAATATGTACCGCGGATGTGAAAGAATCAAGACGTTTAAATAAACGTTCATACTTGGTAGAGCTAATTCAGTGCAGTATCGATTAACAAGGGATAAAAGATCTGGACAAATGATTCCGGTAACTCCAAGAAATTTCGCCATCCGTCCAATAATTCTTCTCATACCCTTGTGCGTTATATCCATGGCTCGTGATAGGAAATTCATATCGCTTCTTGTTAAGGCTACTTCAGCAGGTACTAAATGATCTAGTCTGTAATAAGACAAGTGTCCCTCTCTCCCATATCTGCTTAAAAAAAAAAGTATGTTAACTTTTTAATGCGCGGTGTTAACGATCATTTATACTCTTTTTTTTTTTTCGACAATTACCTTATCATGTCACCTAAATGTATGTCCTGATTGTGAATCCTTAAAGCCAGATACAAGATTGCCCATAATTTTGTAGGTGTAATCAATTCCGGTCCAGTTTTATATCGAGTCGTTACGTAACTTTGTTTATATTTGTTGCGTTTGTGTCTTGGTACTTTTTTCGCCATATCCTTTACTCTCCTTGTTTCTTCTTTAGCAGAAGAATTAAATTGTATCCTGCGTTATAGATATGCAAGCGTATATATAATACAAGCATGTAAAATAGATGTTGGAGAGTGTTTCTTTACCTTGTACTCGCACAAGATTGCCCTGCACTAGAGCGCGTGCTACATACACTTTGATCAAATGTACCGAGTACATCTCCTTCCGAGCTTGCTTGTGACCGCACAAATCTATCGTAGTCAGCAGTGATCATAAGTTTCTATACACAAGAGAATGTTAGACTTGGTTAAAACTTGTCAGAGCTTAGGTAAATTAGCTACGCACTTTATTCCTAATTAATTCTCTCGAGGAGATTCCTTCATTCGTAGAAGCTGTCGAATCTGCCAAGGTACTTGAAGTTTTTCCCCGTTTTCGCACTCTCTTTTGCGACAAAGTTTTGCCATATATAATATCAGCATCCCTATAATGACAATTTGAGTAGTGGAATATTTCAAGTGAAAAGTGAGATGGAGTAATGTACACAGTGCAACAATAGAATTTGTAATGACCCTTTCTTATATCTTCTGGCCAGTTTCGGCATCAGCTTCTTTTTCACAGAGACAAATGCTATTTCCAGTTTTCCAAGATATCGTGCCCACAATTGCAACACTGTTACTTTTACATCAGGTGATACGCCAAGTTGAATAATCTCGTTTGTCAAGCCAATTAAAACAAAATTATACAATTCCCAAGACGTCCATCCGAGCTCCTCGTCTGCATGCAAGAAAATCTCTTATTAGCTGATATTACATCGACTGTGAGACCTTATCGGTAAGATTATGTATAAACCTGCTCTGTCACTTTTGGTACGGTGAATTTTCCTTCCTTTTCGCAATTTCGTAGTATTGCCTATGGGCAGTTCGAGCTCCATCTCTTCCCCCATATCCTAAGAAGATAAAATTATACAGCCGTTCTCTCCTCAAAGTGTCTGCGAGCCTTACCTGGCTTTGCGTTTGACATGTCGTACAAAAGAAATAACCGGACGTTTTGTAAAACTCGCTACAGCCACAGACTGCGCACTTGAGCATTTTCCTTGAGAATCGACTAAGTGATGTATCAATAGTGCTCGATAGGGGTTATGTTTAGTCGCACGTTTACAAGTGGTGGGGGTAGGTGAAAATATGGGCGCTGTTCGCACTATGGCCAATTCATCAACTACAATCATGTGTAAAAAGAAAAGCTTTCTCACTTGGAATTGGAAGGTAAATAACATTTCAAGTTTGAGAAGATGTGAGATTTTATGTAGATGGAAATACTTAATTCTTACAAGTTACTACACAACTTACTTATGCGTCACAAATAATTTGTTCACTGTAGGAAATAACTGAGATAATTTTGTACAAAAGTGTCGATTCAATAAGCATTGACATATAACGAATGAAATTTCGACTTGGGCGGAAATGAATTACTAAGATATCCATAAAGTAATTAAACTAATTTCTTTGCTTCGAAGAAACTCTTGAGATGCTTCATTTGCCACGCACCCATAATGAGAACAACCACTGTCTGCGTGAGGGACCACCAGAAAACACGACGGTGAGTGCTCTCGGATGTCTGCCTAAAGCGCTCTTCCCGATACTGAAACATAATAATGTTGTCACACTTGTCACCCCCTTAGAGTTGCTTTACGTACCCTCTGGTAGTTTTGCTCCTTGGTTATTTGCCCGACCTGATCGAGGAGCTGGCGTATTCTAAGCTGGAGCTCCGACAACTTCTCCTTCTGCGCTACATTGGCATAATCGATGGCGTGTTCCCCCACTTGAATATCCAGATGTACTCTCTGGAAATAATTCACTTCAAGTCTCAGATCTACGTTATATATCTTACGGTATATCTTACCAATTGAGTACCGCTGAACCAAGCGGTGCTGTTGGAGTACAGGCAGATTACGTGTTCTCCCGGGGTATGCGAGGTAAAGGAAATTCGACCCTCGGAGCTATAAACTCGGGAGAGGATAGGTTTGTCGTCGGGATCCTTCACTTCGACGTGCATACCAATGCCAGGGCTACTTGGCATGAAACCTCCGCTTCTTGGATCGTAAAGCTCCACTTTGTAATTGACTGCAAGTTACGAGTAAAGAAATGTTTGCGTCAACTAGCGGAATAACTTGGCTCTTACCCAAAACCGTAGTGTCGTCGGGGATCTCTTCGATGAAGCATTTTCGTTCAGTTTCACCGATATGAAAATATAGACCAGTCCCAAAGTGGAGAGTGCAGAGGAAGAAGGCGAGCAAAATACTTGACATGTTTCGCGTGACTTATTGTCTTATTGCAAAATGACGGTGAGATCACATGTGCAGACATGCACACATGCCAGAATCGCCAGAATCGCCAGACGAGAGCAGACGGAAGCAACCAGACGGAACACACGTCACCTTCGAAAAGAACCAACCTGACTCGGTGGCGTTGGCAGCAGTTGCCAGCTAGAGACTCTCCATTATCGACACACGATATCTGCAGCAAGTACCGGGAGGGCGCTGTCCATTAAATGGAAAAAAGGCTGGCAGTATAAAGAGGAGAATGGATGTCTATCTGTTGACACTTGTCGCCGCGGCGATTGTTGGACTAATTGTCATATGTACCGCTTTCTTACAAGGTAGACCCTCCCCTGTGTGAAACAAGTCATATTCAATTTAGTGACGACATGATAAATGAGCTCGTTTCATCCACAGCCCGCGGTAGAGTAGTACCAGACGCTGCTGCGGTGCAAGCTGGACGATTGAGACCATTGAGACGGGTAGCTGTCGGGAGAGATCTCAGACGTCGTATGCGAGACTTTGGTACTCATCGGCCCGAGGAGTACGACAATCCACTCGACCGACGTAACAACAACGACGACGACGATAACGATGCAGATGACAAGGCAAACTTGCCAGATCACAAGATAGGAGCGAAAAGACGGGCGAAGCTAGCGGCTAAGGCCGAAAAGAAGGTCCAGAGATTGACGGCTGAGCGGGACAAAATGGAACGGTTGAGACGAGAACAACATTTGAAAGAGGAAAGGGACAGACAGGCTGAGGAGGAACAAGCTCAACAACTACGAGCGGAGCAAGTGGAAAAGAAGGCCAGGGAGGAAAAGGAGAGGCAAGAACACGAGGAATATTTAAAGATTAAGGAAGCCTTTAGCGTCGAGGAGGAGGGTTACGAGCAGGAAAATGGGGACGACGAGGAGAACCTGTTGCAACAATTTCTCGCGTATATCAAGATGAATAAAGTACTGCTTTTGGAAGATCTAGCTGCACATTTTGGGCTCAAGACAGCAAGCGTGGTAGAGAGAATTCAACAACTGCAAGCCAATGGTAGTTTAACCGGCGTAATTGACGACAGAGGAAAGTTTATTTATATATCGGAACATGAGCTTGAGGCTGTTGCTAAATTTGTGCGGCAACGTGGTCGAGTTAGTATCACCGAATTGGCTGAAAATTCCAATAACCTCATTAATTTGGCTCCTGCTGAGAGTTGTAGCGTTTCAGCTAGTTAGATAAGTTGTATATATTTTATATCGTGACACACGATGGCTGTATAAATGCAACTACTTGAGTAACTTGCATCTTTATTTATAATAAAAATTTACTACGATACTTTTTCGACCGCTCTCCTGCGTACTTTCTCCATTTATTTCCATTTCGTTTCACTCTGTACGGCGATTTTAATATTCTGGAATCCTGAAGAAACCAACAGAACTAAAAGTATACCATTTTCTTTCGAGTCAACGAGCCGATCTCGCTTTGAACCTTTCGATATCTAACGTGGCGACGGGAAGGAATTCTGCGACGTGCGGCGCGATCCCTGACGACACGTGGAATCGATGTTGCATCAGATTCTAGTTTACCTTAAGCTGCAACGACTACACGCGTCGTATGTATAATTTATTCCGCAGTGGGAACGGCGATTGCTTCGTTGCGATATCAAAGAGTTGAATTTTCTTTTATTCTGCTCGATCGGTCCTTCTTACGACTTTCACCGCGACGAATAATGGAAAAGTTTCGTCGCGAAACGTCGAAAAGAGCAACTGTTGGATGAATCATCGACATCTACGTGATATCCACCTGTTGTTCGATCATTGACTGCTCGAGTTGTTTTTACGCCGCCGCTGCGAATTCTACAAATGATATAGAGAAGCCTATAAAGAGAAAGACTCGAGGAAGGGCGGTGGAGAGTTTGGAGAAACACGTTTTCGACGGTGTTCCTTGAACGGGGCCCGTTCAGTCAATTATGCTGTGCATTTCTCGCTTAAGAAAGAATAAAATCTTTCCTACTATAATCTTTTGATCGATATGATACATGTATTTCAAACACAATTATAGCTATACGAGCGTCACAAGTAGCTACAAATTAGTTGCCGTCCAAGATATTATGAGACGATTCCATAAATTATTAATGAATTTGTAAATAAGGCTATCCCACCATCCTCCCTATGACGGATGTTCCGTGACTCTGATAAATAACAATATTCGATAACTCGCGGTCATTCTCAAGAGAAATGATCGCACGTCGTCTCTCGGAAAAAAAGGGAATTTGATATTTTCTGCGCAAAGTAAAGACGCAAGCTCGATTTTAATGTTGATTCAGAAGCCACTCTCGATCGGCATCCCCACTCGACGATGATGAAAGATTGTGGGAAGGGGATTGTGTCCGCGGACTATGTAAGAACGGCTGAATTGACGGAGACCAACAGACGGAGAACGGTGCTTCTTCGGGCTCTGTGTGTAACGTTTACTTCCAACTTGCCTCGAGGCTCGCCATCCTTATCAGATCTATCTCATCCAAGGAGGAATCCAAGGAGGAACGAGGAGCGAACGTTAAATTGATTCAAGCGGATCGAGACTTGAACTTTGCGGTGATCGTCGAGATCTATGTGTCGATGAGGTGCAAGATCTTAGATTGCCAAGGCAATTCCCCGACATTCTTGCCCAGCGTCAGGTAAGCCTTTCCTACAAGAACAAAAGCAAACGCGTACGTGTACTTTTTTTTCCGCGCTCCTTATGTTCCCTTGATGGATTAAGAGTTGACATCATCAACTCTTTCTACATCTTTCCTTCTCACGCGTTTCTCCTTTACCTGCTTTGTTAATCTAAATTCAAAATGTATAATTAAGTAGTTTAAATCACCGAGATGTGCCGATATAGCTGAATTTCTTCGGGATTGCCCGTTAGTATACTTTCTCTCAATCTTTCGTAGCGTATTTTCAACGCGAAAAAAAAACTCAAAACTCGTAGAAATTATAGTTGCATAATAATCGTAGCAACTAGATTAAGGAAACAGAAAAGAAGGAGGAATATCTTTTTAGACAGCATTTAGCCAGCTATTTCCATGAGAAGCAAAGAAAATGAAATATATATCATAATAAACTGATGTGTAGGACAAAAGATGAGATTATTGTTATTTTCTGCAGGCTAGCCAAAAATCTTGGAACGCGCAAAGGGAGTCGACGAGGCAACTCTGGAAATCGACTTGAATTATTAGTTCTGGTTCATTTGCATCACGTACCGTAGAGTATGTAAACACATCAATTTACTAGAGTTATTTCTTTCTCTCCTTTGTTTAATTTTTACGCGACAACTAAATTTCCAGGTGTTGGAAAATACAGCAAATTACCTCCGAACCATTGCTCATCGTTAGTGCAGATTATTTCGAGTAACCCGAAAATTGGAAGAGGAGGGAACAATTGTTCTTTACATCTCAAATTTATAGACGAATAGAAAAATGGTATATGCCAGCATAAGCGGTATCATTAAAGGACCTTATCAGGAAATTAAGTACGTACAATATTCACACTGATCGTCAATTATCTAGCAATTTTTTACAACGCATGTTTACTTGGAAAATATTACTAACGTATAATTGCAAATGTTGAAGGAAAGACAAGGAAAGGCACATGTCGCCAGGGCAACAACAGCAGCAGCAGCAGCAATATCGTCAGCAACAGTCGTCAGGAAAGAATGACAAGTACGGCTCTTGGGGACCGATCTTTAAAAACAAGGAAAACTTTATCAACATGCATACATGTTGATCTTTCACCGGGATGTAACCTCCACGCGCGCTATTGTGGCTTTTAAAATGTGGTGCAAGGTGTTTCTCGCTCGGAGGCGATTTAGGAGAAAATTATATTTTATGCCAATTATGCTTCTTATTTGTGGTACCGCAATTGATTGAAACTTAAATAGTACTAATCACAACTGCTCACGCGTAACTTGCAGCTTAACCCCCTCTCTTTCTCTTTCATAATAATCTAATCTGAAATTATATCTCAAGTACAATTTCGACAATAAACAGATAAAAGAAGAAACCATTTAACGACTTGTAATGTTCGCAAGTAAGTTGTAATCGAAAAGTGTACGTGTATAAATGAAGAAATTTCTCGACTTTATTACATTACTTGATCTTTATTAAGCTGTAAGTTACGCCACTGTAGTGAGCTATCCTCTCGGTGGTAACATAAATACAAGAATTTTACTTCTTTTATCGCTTTGTTTTCTCTGCAACAGTGCTTCGAAGATGAGCGATTAAAGCAGTGAAAACTATTAAATCTACAATAACGATGACAATGGTTCGGAGAGATTTTAATACGCTTCTCAAGATGCAATTCTCTTTTACTTTGCTTTTAATTCTATGGTCGCACGCTGTAATGGGTATATATAGGGGCTTATATGTTGTATGAGTTTTAAGTGCTTAAAGTTATGAAATAAAGGTGCATTGAAACAATTGAGTGTGTAAAACATTAATGCCACGTTGCCAAAAATGATAAAAGCGACGATTTAATTTTTTTTTGTATAAGAGAGCGCTTCCTGATTACTTAAAGTAAATATCTGACGAATTCGTGCCGAGTTATAAAACAATGTCACAGTCGATCGAAGAAAATTAAATATTACAAAAATTTTGTATTTTGTAACATCTTCCATAGTTGCGACAGTAGTATAATGTCAAAACGAGATTCAAATATCGAAATATCAATAGAAATTTGCAAATGTTGATGAACGTCGGCTCATCTAGATGATTACGTTTTTCAGCGTGATGGGAAAAACAGGGTCGTACGGGCATCTTTGAAAAGTACAAAGCTGCAATGTAACTGATGGATTTGACAATGAGGGAGAGAGTGGAAGGAGGTTGTGTGAAATACGGAGGCAACGGAGGAAGGAAAGCTCGTGTTTTCTCGCTTTCTTACGAAGCGAGCTTTTTCTCGCATCTCGGGGGTAAATGGAGAGTCGGCGCAGCAGTCGGGGCGGTGCAGTCAGTCGGAGCGCGCCGTGCCGATTCGTTCGGAGGTTCAAGTCAACTACTCGCGGATACTCTATCCAGACCGTCTATTAATTTATTTATTTATTTATTTTTCTCTAGTTATTTATTTGTGTCGCTTAGCGTATTCGCGAGCAGCCTAGAGTTCAATTTTCGAGCTACTTTGTCTCTTGCTAGCACGACTTGCTAATACCTAAACTCTCGGCTACATTCGTGACGAGGTCCAAGTGCAATCGCTACGATCGAAAGGGGGAAAAAAGGGCGAAAAGTGTCGTCGTGGAACGCAAAAACCTCGCGAGGAGTCGCCCGCGGCCGCACATCGCTGCTATTTCGAGGCTGGGACATACCGGTGAGTCGTCGCTCGCTACGATTTTAAAACTTGCTCTGTCGCAGAATGAATATAGTCGACCCCTCCAAGTCGCGATTATTTACTCTAGGGCGTGACTCGGATGATTAAAGTTTTCAAGGAAATCTACTTGGTTGAACAACTAGATATAATTTACGTAAAAAAACGACACCTACTACGTAATAATCCGTGACTCGTGAGATAAAATTGGTGCCTGCGAACCTGTCGAGTCGTTGATTATTATAATTAGCGCGACACTGATAATACCTTGGCATATTAAATCTTTGAAGAGGTTTGAATCGTTACGCTTCTCGGTAGTCGAGCGTAGTTAAGTAAGAGGAGAGGATTTAGCGTGCCTCTTATTCCTTGGGTCGACTTAAATTTGAAGAGTAGGACATAAATATCCTACGGTGGTATTGGATTCAGACCGGAAGTGTAGAGCTTTCTCTCTAGGCGCGGGATGATTCCTCGTGTCGAGGGATGTCTCGAGAATGTCGGCTCTTCCAGCTTCCTCTCGCCTCTGGTCGTCGCGTCGCGTCGGCGATGTATCCCACAGCTTGCATAGGTGTGTAACGCTATTTTTACGTCGACGTTCAAGTCATCCAAGGGAGGGTCAAGGCGCTCCACGAGAGGGACCCTCGCTCTATCTGCTCTCGCGTAGCTCCGCGCGGTTTCCGGTTTCCGGTTTCCGGTTTCCGTACTCATCAGGACTGCTCTGGGGATGTAGTTCTTATAAGATCGAAGATACCAATTTAAATTGCTCGTCGAATTATCGCGCGATAACATATATGCGGAAGAAGGAGCAAACACGAAAAAAAGTCATATTCTCTCAACTTTTTGATATGCAACCGCGTCATCACTTTTCACTGTGCACGGCTGCCCTGCACACGTGTTTATCGTCGTGTCTTATATTAGATTAGCGCAGCTTTGTAAACAAGACGGATTTGAAAAGCGGCGGGGCTTTCTAGAAAAGGTCTTCTGATTAAAAGGAAAATTGCCAGCAGATATGTGAAAGTTAACATTATAATGGGACAATTTTTCTAGTCTTTTCGATCTAAAATAAAGGGTCTAAAACAAAGCGAATTGCCTCGGTACTATCCCACGTTACTCTTTACCCTTATTGCTGACGATCACGTGCGATCACGCAAATTATTTTCTTCCGCGACTTAATTACTTAATTTGCTTTATACGCGCGACTTAATTTCAATATGAGCACAATGTCCTCGTGACAATCGATCCTACGTTACTTTCATCAATCATTTTACTTGTCACTTTGTAAAGGTATATTTAAAAGAAGTAAATTGAATGTAAGAATGTTGACATGACACGAGAATAGTTGAAGAAATGGGCATTTTGTCGTAAAGTTTCGCGGAGAATCCAAGGTGACAGAATATCCTACGTACAAAAGGGGAGTAGAGGAAAAAGGCGCCCCCTCTCCTTCACACATCCTAAGAATAGAGAAATACTTTTTGTCCTTTGACTGGGTAATTGTCGCGGAGGGCCGATTTACCTGCTGAGAATAAACTGCTGCTCAATGTTTTCATAAGATATTAAAAGATGCATGAATATTGATGAAATTTCATTATTGATGAAATTTCACGAGGGCGGTAAGAATAATAAAAATCTAAACTGTAATTTAGGAAAGTTTAGGAAAGTTTAGGAAAGTTTAGGAAAGGCGACTTTCTCCGGTAGATTTTGGAAAGCCGAAAGCGTTAGAAGCGAAAACTCGTCAATCTCTTTTTCGTCCTCTTTGTTCCAAGTATATCCGGGACCCCCTGCGAACATAAAGGCGTGGTCGTAACCACCATCCGGGATGAGAGAAACCTCTGCATCCGTCGCCACGCTACATATAGAATAACGAGAAGAAATAAGCAGTGCGGTGGTAAAAAAACTTGTAGATATAAAAATACCTCTACGCAAATATTATATTGTATAATCAGTCTATTTATTATACAGCAAGAGTGTCCCCTTTTCTTTCTTCGCATATCTCTTTTTATACTTTTTACCCATTAAAAATGAATTGCACATGACGTACGCGAGACGAGAGTCGATCGGTGCGAGTAACGATAGTGTCGAGACGATCTTTCCCTCGGTGATGAAATCCCAGAAGAATGACGGTGTCTACCGGCACGTCGAGACGGCGGCGTTCGTGCCTCCCGAAATAACTGGCGTGTATCCCGAGTCCAAGCAGGAACCACGTTACCACGCACGTTACCACGTACGGACGGACGTACGTATAGTGACGGGACTCACGGGAAACCGGTTGCCATGGGAGTATACGAGAATAAAAAGAACATTTATACGCATCGCGTGAAATTCTTCGTTATGGCCGTTATCGATCGACCAAGCAAAAGTGGCTGGGCGAGTGAATGTTCCAGATGAAAACTTTCGGGTGAACCAATGTACACGTGTCGTGCCATGTGCGATTATTTAGAAGGAAAGAGAAAGAAATAAACCAAAGGGTTGGTAATCTTAAATCCAAGTATAGCCGAACCATTCCATTTACACACTCGACTTTAGTCATGGCGAGTGATAGCCTCGTTTAATTGAAAGAAAATGTCGCGGAAATCCCTTGCTATATTTGGCGTTCCGAGTCATCCTGCAGTCACGCTAGTCTGAAATTTTACCGCGACGTAAACTTTCCCGAATTGCCTGTAACTCATAACTGTACTTTGCATTTCAGCTCGTCACCGAATGCACCGTAAAACAAGAGGAAAGTATGAGATCTAGAGACTCCGTCGTGTACACCCCGGTATCCCTTGGACCCGATACTGACGATGAGGAGACGTTGGTCAACGAGGAAGTGTACAAAAATGGTGACTTTCAACCTCTATATTACCACATTTTTTACTCATTACCCTATTATTCATTACCCGCGCGACTTTGGAAATGATCAGTGACGTTTAGATAATTGTTAATTGCGAAAAGGAATTGATTACATATCCAACTAGAGAGAGGTGTATGATATCACTGAGACCAAGTGAGACCAAGTGAGGTGATTGAAAATGGAAGATAGCCGACTCTGAGTCAGCGCACCTACGCGCCACTTGCGAATTTCAACTCGAAGGAATCGCAATACATGTAGTGTAACAATAAGAGTACAAGTATGTATGTACTGTCGAGTATACCTTATTTACCTTATTACATGATACCTTGACTCGACATAATTATGTATCTGCGGCATTAATCGTGATACGCCGTTTTCGTAGAAACATCTCTGCTTTTTCATCTTTATATGCAAGACACGTATAGCGAACACGTATAAAATGACTCTTTCCTCGTAAGAGACCCTCGAGATCTTGAACACGTAGAGATTGTACAACTTGTATCTCTCGGGGAAAAGAATCTTTTTTCGTCACCCTCCAATAAATAACATAGTACCGCGACTCGACTGAAATCCTTCAAGATTGAACGTGTCGTCGATCTCTGATGCTATTCGACGAGACAGGAAATGAGCAGATAAGCGAATAATTGCTGGGAGAGGAGGGACACAACTCGACCCTCGAGACAATAATCGTAAAACGTAAGACTTGATATGTATTGGTATTTCTGATAACGTGCGCGCACGTGTACGTTATCGTAGTGCTTCGTGCGGCTTTCGCGATTCAAGTGTATCAGGCCTTGAATGAAACAAGGATACGAGCGAATGAATGAACCTACTGGGTATGGGGAGCAGTCGTCATGTCGCGGCGCGGCGCGTGTGAGTCATTTCGTTTGGGTAAAAATTGGGTAAAAATGTCCAAACGACACACGTTTTAGAGAATTTTCGAAAAAAGAAACGGTATCAATATCAGGTAGACGATGACACCATGTGTCGCCTTGGCATGGTACGCTCGGTGGAAAACCGGTGTACCAGCCGGTCTGGCACATCCCCTACTCAACCCTGCTATTTCTATACACGCTTACGTATGTAAACGTAGGGGCGTGCGACTCGCCACGCGTGTGGACGCTACGTGGGCGGACGAGGTATCCCGCGCGTTATCGCTCCGTCGATTATCCGCGGTACGTACGAAGGATCTTGGAGCTGTTCCACGTAGCGAACACCGACGCGGCATAGAGCTTGCTCTACGAGACAAAAGTTGATTATTTTTTATCTCGCGAGTCGGATAATTAAATCATTTCTAAGAGTCGATGACGTACTAGGGTATTCCATCCAAACGTGTCCGTTTCGACTCGACTTACACGTCCGCGCTGACCCTAAGCTCGTAGAACCTAAGATTCGATAAACGCTCAGGCTGAAGGGTCCGTGCAGGGTGAGAGAGAGAGGACCTTTCAGCAAGTAAAAGGATCTATGGGCTACCTGCCGAATGACGTGGTTCAGAAAAATGTTTTCGTTCCCTTCTGTGATTAATCCTCTTTTAAAAAGGGAGAAATTACTCCGTTCCATAGGTCATGGCATAGGAGTTGGAATACCAAGAATTCCATGTATTCTCTGACAAAACTGAAATCGATATCAGTATCAGCTCAAACATTGATTTATTTTACTCTCTAACAGTCAATCAGTGGATTATCACTGAAAATAGTGCACCGATTATTCTTAGAGAGTACATACAATTAAAACCGCATTATTGCGAAGCACCGGTCAAGTTGATGAAAAGGTGGTAGTTTAAACTGTCGACGTGGTAATTGATGCAATTGCAAGATTTTTATCTTATACAATACAGTAAGTAGATGGAAAAAGTTTCTTTTCGGCAAGTTTGTTATGATGAATGACGAGAGGAAGCGTGATGACAATGAAATATCAATGAAATAAAAGATAAAAATGGAAAAAGATAGTTTGTTAATCAATGTTGCAAAACTCCAATATAAAACACTGAAACGTAATTTAATATAAATATTGTCACGTATAATAGAAAGGGAAAATAAAAAATGTATTTTTTGAGTAATTCCGTGATTATCTGCGACATTCCACTTTCACATTTATTAACATCGCGTCGTGATAAAAATATGGCGAACGCTCTCAGTGTAAGAGAAATCTCGTGGTTGAAGCTAAGACGTTTATTAGTAGATAAGCTATAAACGCGCGGTTGATTAAACGCACCTGCTGTGGTTTATTTGTGGCTGATTGTGAGATTTACAAAGAGACACTTGTTCCTCTTCTTCTTTCTATCGAGCGATATATTTTTACGACTCCTCAGATATTGGTAATATAATTAATTCGTATTCATGTGTATTTACAGTCAGGCCGCATAACGCGTCATCTTAGAGGAAATTGTGGGCGAGTAATCTTGTCGCATCGTGGCGATTAACGGAACGATTTAACGTTTAACGTAGTGCAAAGAGGATGCCTACGCATCCAATTGTACCTAATATGCCGGTGGAGCTTCAACTAACGCGAATAATTTTCGGCCTTGCAAGATGAAAATTTTACACTTGGAGGTTTACGGGATCCGTACAAGGTCTTTTTGTTCGAAACCTAAACCTCCAAGTGTAAAATTCTCGGGCTGGTAGTCAGTGCATTCGAGGGTCAAAGTACAGAAGCGGAGCGAGAAGTCTGTCGAGCGAGGTGCCCGTTTAATTACCGATGCTCGACGCTCGTTTCAACGTGGGCTCTGCCTGGCTGGATCCGCCGGTCCGCCCACCCGCATCCGCTAGCCCACGTAGAAAGGTTTGCGCGTATATAGAGCTACCGACGACACCGCCAATTTGTTAATTCGCTAATTCCTAGCCATCCATCTACAATGTATGGCTCGACTACCTTCTTCTATCGTGAACCTTTCGACGTAGAGGAGCAAAACGTACGGTAAAAGATGGTATATTAGGCGGGGATGTGAAAGTAGAAAGTAACGTTTCGCGAGTAGAAATGCTAAATCCCAAGGAGCGCGGACGCACTTGTCGCACGCGGAAGCCGAATATCCTTTCTATCGCTCTCATCCATATTGCGTTCAATTTCCCCTAGTGGGATATTTCGCTGGATGACAACTCGCGCAGGCGCTATGGCGCTGCTCTAGCGAGGCCAGAGGACGAAAAGGACGCGCAAGGAAGAGTATTGGAGAGCGGGAGAGAGAGACGGAGAGGGCTCGTTGTGAAAGAACGTGGCGAGCGGCGAGCGGTCGTCCAAGCGAGTCAACCAGTCGGTCGACCTGCCGGGGCTGCCGGGGCTGCCGGCCAATCAGCCAACTCGGTCATCGCGTTGCGCTGCGCTGCGCTGCACTGGCAAGTGGCAAGTGGCAAGTGGCAGCCAGTACGCCGCGAACCCTGCTCGCGTATTCATGCGTATCACACGTCTCGCCGGTATTTTAACAAAACAAATAGCAAAATGGCAAGACGAAAGATGGAAAAAAGAGAAGGGTACGTGTTCCGCACTCCGCAGTAGTCGGCGACACGGTTCTCAGGTGCGTGCTCGTGCTCTGCTCTAGTTTCTCTGGATATGTGTGATGTGACTCGAGTGTTTTACACCGTGCGATGTACCGGATAAAGCACATATCTACGCGTGAAAAAGAATAAAAAAAAGAAACGGTCGTACGGCGGCGGCGGTGGAGGAGGAGGAGGAGCAGAGAGAAAAGGGAGAGAGAGAGAGAAGCGACATGGCGCCCCCCGACAGATCGCCTCGCCCCAACTCTGGTCTCAGCCTCTCCGTCCTCGGTAAGTATTTTACAACACGTGATACGATGTGACAAAGCTTCAACAAAATAAAAGACGCATCTCAGTGACATTCTTCATACATTCTCAACAATTCCCTGTTGCTTATTATTAGACACACGATGAAACTCTAAGCAAAATAGTTAATTCTCGCACGAGTCTAATAATCGGTTGTCGAGTGTTGGCGCAACGTCTGATCTTGTTGCGGAATAATAGTAATTTGCAACTTTAGTCTGAACGCCACAAGATTCGTCTCGATGTTGAACAGAGTGCGAATTAAAGGTGGGAAACTGACGCTACTCGTACATTCTAAAGGCATCGCCCTAGAGTGGAACAACCAACTTCCGTTTTTAAGTATTTACCTGTCGACTGATTATTTGTAAAAATCGACGTAACGTTTGTCACGCCAACCATATACATATAAAAGTCTCCCACGATAAAATGTATTATCAGTCGACGAGAATGAGTCAAATCGATATCAGCTCCATTTCGGATAAACCAAAGCTATGACTGTTTAATATTTTATTATTTAATAGCAAAAAGTCTTAAAAATGTTAATATTTTTCAATAAAAGTTAATAAAAAGTATTAAAGATGACGCATATATGTGGAATTATTGTATGATACTGATAGAATGGAATTTTCATTGCGTTATCAATTGGAAATAATTATTCTCGATGACAATGAGAGAAGGAGGAAGGAAGGTAGAGAAGAAGCACGTCTTGCTGTTGTACTTATTTTGCCGGTTATGTTGGACCACACAGAAGCATGCGTCGATGGTCGAGTCACAGATAAGACGACGCTACTATCGGAAGACGGAATTAACTGTAAGAGCGAAACGAAGAAAAGCCTTGTTGAGATTCAACATGCTTTTAGTTTATCTCTAGTCGCTTCACTTTATTTGCACTCGCCAACAATTTTTACCATTTACTTAACTTATATCTTAATAAAAGTGAGAAGAAATGTTTCTCGCGCAAACGTGTCTTTAGTGAATACGGAAAAGACAAGTTATATCTACCAACAACCTGCAATAGATGGTTACGAAATGTACACACCTGTAACGCGCACCTTGCCTTGAATACAACTACGTCTAACTTTCTCTGTCACCTGGGTCTAAAACGTGCATATCTCATCTACTCTACTCTATTCTTCCCGTCATCTATTTCAAACATACCTGATATTATAATAAAAGTCACGAGCACGTCAGTAAGTAGGTCACTTGAAGTGGTTCCTTCGAGAGGCGTGTCTCGCGAAAAGAAGCGGCAAAAGAGACCCGAATTTGCCAACATGACGGATCCAATATGACTCGCATTTATAATTGTACTCTCGTCACGCACTACATCCTTGCAAAATGCGCACACCTGTTTGTAGAGTTTTTTTCAACCTGTAATTTTCTACAGTGCAAACGTACAACATCCGGTTTCTTCACCACTGACGAATTTTCTTTCGAGAAGGGGATCCTTGAAATACACCTTGAGAGAGGTACACAGATCATCTCACGGCGTTTGTTGTATATGACTCACTTTCTTGTCGCGTCCAAGACTTAACTTTTTAGAGCCACTCTTGGAAATTCATAAGAAAATGTCTTTTTTTCCCTGTCAAGAAGGATATTCAATAATTAAATAAGAGTCAATTAGGTAAGAAGAAGATGTTTTTCACTAGAAGAAACCGCTCGATTTTCCAAAATAGAGAAAAATGTCAATTCTTGTAGATACATACGTAATATGAATTCTTTAGGACTTGCTAGAAATATCCCGTTTCTTAGACAAATAATATATAATGTTTATTAATAGATAATAATTTTTGACACTTAATTTCTAATCTGTGACAAGCTCGAGCAAAAATGGTACCTACGTGTGGTTATTTATGGAATATTATGACGGTGTATGTATCGCAAATGTATGCATGCTGTGGGCGGTTATCGTGTGTATCGTGAGTGAGAGGAATAAGGAGTGGAGTAGCGAGGCGACCAGCAGTCTTACGGATCGTGTCGCGTCTGGCTGCCCATTCTAAGAATCAAGAACCTGAATAGCCAATGTACCAAATCATAGATGTGTACGTTGCTTACTTCTTATTGATTTGATTGATTGCGGAAAATCTTCCTCACTCGCGAATGCGTTTAGCAAAATTATGTGAAATTCGTAACGAAATTTCTAACGATTCTGTCATATTTGGTAACAGATAGGTTTAACAATTTGATATTATCGAGGCAGGATTTAGCAAGTGATCGCTGTCGGGAAACAAATCCGAAATATGCTAATAGTTTATCTAAAAATTGCATTTAAGGCGGGTCTAATATCGTTATCTAAATTAATATTTGTGTCCGTATTCGTGCAAACGTGCAAACGTCAAGTGTATAATGAGACGAGATAAGATTGCAAATCTGCTCAAGTAATTAATAAAAGAGAAGAATAATTTTAAGAGACTTTTATGTAAAGAATTTCCGCGTCACGGAATGTACTGATAATTGTAAGAGCAAGATATCGTGCCGTGTGTCGCAATTTTCCGGTATGAAGAAGAGCACTGTTAAGCGATAAGCGCGAGCTTTATTTATATAATCTATCGCGGAGCATGTTATCTACAATGCCTTATCAGAGATGACGTCGGTGAAGCATATTATCTCATAGAAACAAGCAGGTAAAATCCAGTCACATGTTGCGTATCTTTTATGTCAATCTTAAATCTTGTAGCGTTAGTGGATCTTTTGCGCATTTATCGCGATATTTCGTAGCCTCCCGGTATATCGAAGGTACCGACAGGATTTAAATACGACAAGACTGTAGGCGAGCACCTCGGTAGAGTAACTTTCTCTCACTCTTCTGGGCACGAATAACGATTAATACACGTGACTCGTCGAAACCGAAATAACTGCCGTTCTCGATTCGGTGACCTTTTACAGCCATCTTTTTCCAAGCTTGAGGATAAACCAAAGCAGAAAAGCACAGAAATGAGAGAAATGTTTAACGGGAAGAGAAGACAGTTTACGGAGAGATGTATAAGAGAGGGAGAAGCTGGTCAGCAGATCAGCCAACAGGTGGTGGTTCTGCTCCGTTCCACTTGGTTTTCCCGCTTGGCCAACGGACTTTAATCTCCATCGAGGTCGGGCGAGTGGACATGTCGAATTTCGTGGTCCTTTCGAGCGAAATCCTCATTTAGACTGATCAACTCGTCGATCATTACTCGTATACATACGAGAAGCTACGTTGCAAAATGCCGCATCGCGCGAGAGATCGCGTTTCACCGGCGTTAGCAAAACGGATCGATCGAGTTTAACGAATGCGATATCGAAAGGAAGCAACTTTCTACATGTGATTTAAGATGCCAATTATAAGTTAGATCGATGAGAGTTTTAACGAGAGATTATCGCGCGAGGTGATTGGCAAGATGCGACGTTGTAATAGTGGATCCTGCGATCCAGCGAGGACGCATGAGTCAGTAAAGCCTCCGCCCTGAGAAAACGTCAAGAGCGAATGCTCGGCGGGGTGGCGCGGCGTGGCGCGGCAGACTCCGGTGCGTTGACCTAGCTTACGGTTTACGGTAACCCAGGCGATCCTCCGCCGCGACAAGCGGAGTTGCACCTGCCTCACGCGGAGTTACCGGTACGGAGGGGTCGTGTGACTTCCTCCTTTTCTCCTCTCTTCTTTCCCGCTTCCCTATCTCTTTCCGTTTCATGCGAATATAACGTCGTTCGTAAAGCCTCGATCTCGTTAAAAAAGCCTCATCTCTCGACCTTACTTTCCACAATAGAATGCTTCGTATATGCACGGCGCCTTATTCTGCATCGTCGCTGCTCTCACATTTTCTACACTTTTGTATCTCGATATCTTGGCGCGAGAACAATTTCCGAAAGAGAGAGAGAGAGAGGGAGATAAAAACGATTGCGCTCTCTTCGTAGACTTGGCGCAGATACGAGCGTTGGTCGAGTCGACGGGGGTGTTGGGTGGATCCACGTGCCCATCCTGCGAAATGCCCTTTGACAAGGGCAAGAAACGTCGCCTGATCGATTCCTGCGGCCACGAGCGCTGCTACTCCTGTCTATTTCGCAGCGAGGTCTGTCCACTTTGCCTGCGTGGCTACGATCTCAACGACGACGGCGACGACGTCGACGACGACGAGGACGAGGACGACAACGACGACGACGACGATGACGACGATGACCGATTGGAAGAACCATCTCTCAGGGATGTTTCCTCGGCACCGCTGTCCATCTTCGCGCCCACGGATGGTTGGCTCGATGAGTCATCGACGGTGAATTCTCTCTGTGGCAGCCCCAGGCTACGCACCAAGATCACCACGAGGGCTAATCTACCGTCGCGAGTTTTACACGTAAGCCTATTGTTATAAAGAGCTCTTCTTCTCCCTCTCGTCAAACCCTTATCATTTATATCACATCGATCGCGTAAATCTTATTTCATTTTCAGCAGCGAGGCGCGGCTGAAAATCTCTCCTTGATAGCAGTAGCCAAGAACTTGAAAAGTAAGGCCACTTCGCCACTCTCAGCTCCTTCTGTCTCTCAAGATCGGCAAAAACTCAAAATGACGCAAAGTACGTCGAAACGTCCAATTAAATGCTACGTCTCGCATCGAGATACACATTAAAAACACAGTAAAATCGCAGGTTGTCCCACGCCACCAAACCAACGAAGAAGATTCTTTCTCAACCCAAAAGTGCTGAGAAGTTCCTTAGCCGTCCAGAGGCCTTCGAGACACGCGGTGTCCTCGCCCGAGCCGATTGTACACGACAATCCTTCCGCCTTATCAGGTACGAACATTGTATCAACTGTAGGTTTACGCGGCGAAGAGAACATTTCACCATTCGAGTGGAATAATAATGCCAAAAATTGCACGCACACATACAGTTGGGATGACTTCGTCTTTGGAGGGAAAAGCAAGTTGGCCCGGCGTTGTCTTGGGAAAGATCAAATCTCTGTGGAGCAGTAGTCAAGGCACGGCTAACGACGGGCTGAATCAGCTCATCGGCTCGTCGAATAAAGTTACAGGCAGGAGGAGTTTTGTCAAATTCGATGTTGTATATCGCTATTGAAACACGTTTAAGATGCTTGGAGTTTGTGAATGAACGTAGAGGAAAACTGCCACTCGGCGTAGAGCGTGTTCGCTACCGCCGAAAAAACAACGTTTCTTTCCGATAACACCTCCCTTTTGTAGTGTCTCTTTGTAGAAGCATGGCCCCCGCAACTTACAATTATCCCTTATTATAGTTACATTATTTTTCATTTTATCATACGATCGTTGCTTTTATCAGAATCATGCCGAGCCGTGTATATGTTGATGATCCTTTTAGCAAAACAAATTATTATAATCCTCTTCGTATCCTCACATTTTCTGTTGGCTAGTTTTCAAATTAAATCAAACTTGGGCGAATTATACAAATTTACGAAAACTCCTCCATTCTCAAACGTACGTTTTGTATTTGTAATTGATTGATCACGATTGATATGCCTGGATTTAGCATTGAATTTCTCACACTTGGCAGAGCGTTCTCAATCTGTTGTTGCAATATTATAACGATACGTTTAGACGGACGGGATAAAAGTGAATATACAAATTAGTCTAACGTGTCATTACCTTGCGCTTGACGTTTGCAACATTCGATTGTGGGTATTGTAAGGTATTGTAAGGTATTGTATCGTTTCAACTCGAACTTGAAACGATAAATATACCCCCGCCTGAGCGTATCTTACAGTAGTGTGACTATTGTTTTGCCCGTCAATTTCACGCAGCACGAAGCACTGGCTATCTCGGTCGATTCTATGCACTGTCTGGATTCGTGGACTAGATATCAGTCACTTTATATTCACGCCTAATCAACTTACTCTTTTCACAGACGATGAGGGTGGTTGCGTGAAACCGTTGTCTTCGAAAACCAGAAAATCGTCACAGTCGGACCTGTACATGAGATTGGGTCTGCTATTGGGATCGAATCGAGCAAACGCGAGCATGGAATCGAGCGTGCATCCCTCACGTACTCCGATACAAGGGCACGACAGCTCTGCGGCCTCCTTCAGCAGCCTGACCAGCTTTGAGGCGCAGACATTGGCATCAACGAATACGAGCCCAGTGTCAACGTTGACGGGCACGTCGAGCGAAGCGGAGGCCGCGGCGGCAGCGCTGCGATGCTCTATGAAACCGAAGGTCAAGGCCAAGGGGAAAACAAAATCCAGAGACTGCGACAGCGCTGGTAGTCTGGCATCTATTTCCACATCATTATCCGCGTCCACGTCAATGTCCATGTCTATGTCCGTGTCAGTATCGGGCCTTTCGAACGGTAGCTCCAGCCCGCTCGCACCTAGAAGACATTCCGTCAATGCCGCACACGCGGGTCAACCCGACGAGCTCGGCCAGTTGAAGAACAGACGATCCTGCGCCCGAAGGTCGGCGAGAGCCAGCAACGTGAAAGGTCCATTGGACGCGAAACGTAATCTCTAATATTCCTTTCTTTATGTATTTGAGCCCAAATGTGTAACGTGTATATTCGAATCTAACGATCCGTATATGTGCTTATTTCAGTACGTTTCGTTCAGCGTCATACGACGCAACTAAACCTGAAACCACTATTCTTCGAGGTGCCGTTGTTAGAGCAAGATCCACTTTTCGCGGGACGACAGTGGTTGTTACATGAATTAGAATCTGTCATCAATGGCTCCAGTCCTGGTATTTTGCTTTCCGGCTCGTCTGGCACGGGAAAAACTGCACTCGTTTTACAATTGGTAGAACACAGTTGTTTCGGAAGAAGGAAAGAGCAGCCAAGGTCCGCAGAAGTGAGCGAGGAATGCGACGAGACGGAGAAACAGAACGCGACTCTGCGAGCCAACATTCAGCATACTAACGAAAAGGTGCGATCCTCTCGGCTAATATTAATAATACTATTATATTCCGCAACGGTCTACGTAAGTTTGCAAGTTGGTAGAAAAGGTGGAAATGAGAAATAGCGATATCGAATTACAGGTCCGCGAATTAGCGTCGCACGTTGTAGCCTATCATTTTTGCCAAGCCGACAATAACAGTACCTGCCTAGTCCCAGATTTAATTCACTCACTAGCGGCGCAACTCTGCCAGGCTCCTCAATTGATCTCGTATAGGGAATACCTCTTGTCCGAGCCCCATCTCCAAGGCTCTCTGTCGCAAAGGGAATGTACCGTTGATCCTGATCTCGCGCTCTCGAGAGGTATTATCGAACCACTTTCGACTCTGAAGAAAGCCAATAAACTGCCAACCTCGAATATGGTAGGTCTATCGCACGAGACGAGCGAACCAACGACAATTACGTTGCTCAACACATTCTGTTTCCAGGTAATATTAATCGACGCCGTTTGCGAGGCAGAGTATCACAGGCCGGACAGAGGCGACACTATAGCTTCTTTTCTAACGAGGCATGCACCTAACATTCCTAGCTGGTTAAAGATCGTTTGCACGGTCCGGACACCGTTGTTGGATTGCGCGAAACAACTACCATACACGAGAATCTCGTTAGACAAGACTACGAACGATGCGATCGGTAACAGCATCGCCAAGGATTTATCCGATTACGTCGGTTATAGATTAGCGCAAAGCCCGTCCATCCAATCGAATGTAACTGCGTCGGTAAACGGCAAGGCAGAATCATCGTGTAGCGCCTATCAGACGAGATTCTCTTCACATTTGCTCACTCTAGCCAGAGGTAGTTTCCTCTTTGCTAAGCTAACGCTTGATCTTATCGAGAGCGGGCATTTAGTTGCTAAATCTGCAAGTTACAAGGTACGTGCAATAACATATTTTCGCTCGTGTAATGGCAATTATAATATAAGCCGCTGTTACTTTGGCGGTATAAGATATGATTATAAAGAAACATCGAAAAGAATGAGATTTATAACAAGTGTATTATTTCATCTCCTAGGTTTTACCGGTTTCTCTCGCACAGATCTTTCTCTTACATTTCAACTTGAGATTCCCTACGGCAGCGTCATTCGACAAAGTACAACCTCTTCTGGCTGTTTGTCTGGCAGCTCTATACCCACTGACTCTACCTGAAATTTTTTATTCCGTCAATTCTCTAAATGTACATCATTTTATTTCATGGGACGATTTTTTACAGAGATTTAAGGCAAGTACATTAAGCAATTTAGTACACGTCTAGTTACATACGACTATGTTACTCTTGCCTTTTTTCTCTTTCTGCCAACGATGCGAAAACAATGTAAGTCGTAGTAATTTACTAACCAAGATATATTCCAATTAGATATAGCGAAAGTAATTGAGACGAATGAAAGAATTATTTCATCACGAACTGATAAATGTCACATTACGTCAACTCTCGCTGATTGAATAGATTTGAATTTATTTAGAAATTACAATCTCTTTATCAGATGCTCTCTGGCTTTCTCGTGAAACGCTTGGACAATACGTACATGTTCTTCCACCCATCGTTCAGGGAATGGCTGATGAGAAGAGATGAGGGGGAATCGACAAAATTCCTGTGCGATTACAGACTTGGTCATGCGGCGATAGCATTTAGACTGTCTCGCCTTCAAGCACCGTTGGATGGTGACAAAACTTTAGAACTAGGTCACCATGTGCTAAAGGCACACGTTTACAGAGGCGTAGCTCCATGTTGGCCCTCGCGCGATTTACAAGTACGTTACGTGTAATCAACGTGAAATAGTAACCGAGTGCAATTTAGTAAAAGCGCAGCTTATTCGAGCTTCTTCATTCATCCTTAGGCAATTTGGCTAACTTTATCGACCGAATGCATCTCCTCGGCATTGTGCACGCTTCGAAACATTTACAGTCCAAATGTGAAGGTATCGCGGCTGCTCCTGCTGGCGGGTGCATCGCCGAATCACATTACCGAGTACTTGGGTAACGCACCCGTCCTATGTATGTACGCGCACGAAGGTTCCGTCGAGATGGTGTCGCTTCTTCTCGAGTTTGGCGCTGACGTTGAACTGACCAACAGCCAAGGCTGTACCGCTCTATCGCTGGCGGCTGCCCGAGGACATTGTGACGTTGTCAGAAGGTACAGTTATCTTACTATCTTATCTTGGACTCTCGAACAATATTATTGTCACTTGGCAGATTGGCCGCCGCTGGTGCCTCGTTGGGACACGTAGACATGGCCGGCCAATGTCCTCTGGTGCACGCGGCAAGACACGGAAGACTGTCCGTGGTTGGGTATCTTTTGGCCTGCGACTGGATCAGTGAAAATAAAGCGGAAAGTGGCGCCTTGGAAATAGACAGAGAAGAAGCCGCCCAGCAAGCGGTTGTCGCAGCTGCGTCACAGGGTCACGAAGCGGTTGTAGAGTATCTTTTGGACATGGCAGAGGTGATTGTAGATCGTCCCGATACATTGATCGGCGAGACCGCCCTAACGGTCTCCGCTGCAAACGGTTCGACTGCGACCGTTTCCGCGCTTTTGGCTCACGGTGCCAATCCAAGAGCCGTCAACACGAAAGGCCTCTCTCCTCTCATGCTCGCCGCCAGGGAAGGGCACTGGGGTACCGCCGAACGACTTTTACAGGGTTCGTTTTTCTCTCTTCCGGGACACAACTTGAGATCGTCGACGATTACGCGCAAGATTGGTTATCGATGGTTGTTGAATTGTTTCGCAGGAGATTTATCCATCAGCATGAATACAGTAACGGACGAAAGTGTAGCGCTTCTGGAACAAGGCGATCTCGCTGGTCGTACCGCTTTAATGTTGGCCGCTTCGGAAGGTCACATTAATCTGCTCGAGCTGTTTCTCGATAAAGGCTCGATTCTAGAGACGAAGGACAAGGAGGGACTCACCGCTCTCAGTTGGGCTTGCGTCAGGGGACGCGTCACCGCCGTACAAATGTTGCTCGATCGCGGCTCTGATGTCAATACGAATGACAACTCTGGTAGAACTCCTTTGGATTTGGCCGCATTTCAGGTAGACCCTTATCTTGTACCTACAACCCATGTCATTTGCCAAGCATTACTTTAGCGGTCTAATATTTACGAAAACACATACAGGGTAATCCAAAGCTAGTACAACTGTTACTCGAAAAAGGAGCCGCGGTGGAACACGTTGATCTTCATGGCATGCGACCTCTGGACCGAGCTATCGGATGTCGCAATATACCAGTCGTTCAATGCTTCTTGCGTCGTGGTGCTAAATTAGGCCCTGCTACATGGGCCATGGCAGCAGGAAAGCCAGACGTTTTGATAATCCTATTGAATAAGCTTTTGGAAGACGGCAATGTTTTATATCGAAAGAACAGATTGAAAGAAGCGTCGCATCGATACGCGTACGCTCTTAGAAAATTCCCAGTTTCGCCAGAAGAAGATTGTCAAGGGCAGGAGCAAAGTCATATGATGCTGCAGCTTCAAACTTTTACGCAACTTCACTTGAATTTCCTTCTAAATTTGAGCCGATGCAAGCGCAAAATGAACGTTAGTAATTTCATTTTTTCAATGTTACACGTAGATCTGAATGTATGAATGATAACAAATCTGTGCTACTTTTACAGGAATGTACCGAAGCTATTGAACTCGCTGACGAAGCCCTCAGTATCCGGTCCGTTTCTTACGAAGCATTCTACGCTAGAGCTAAAGCGCGCGTAGACTTGGGTATGTTTGAAGACGCTCTATCGGACGTTCAAGAAGCTCTTCAAAATGCACCAGCTCACAACAGACAAGATCGTAGAGTGCTCGCTACTTTAAAAGATGAGATTGTCTCTTGGATCGATGGTGCTGGGACCAATAAAGAACACGACGGTTATAGTGCTAGATCTCGCCTTCGGGCATCAGTGGATACTCTTACCGAATTGTAATGATATTTGCTTCAAACACTCGAAAAAATTTAAATTATGCCAATTTAAACACATAGTAGTCTACAATTATATTTATAAATTCAATCTTTCGAGGTAACTAGATTTCACACTCTACGTTTAGGCTTATTAAATAGCAGCAACGAAACTATTTTTTTAATATCGAAAATCAAGATGCTATAGCACTGATATAAAAACAGATGAAAAATTGAGAAATATAATTGTTGAATAATTCCTACGGAATTGTATTAATAGATAATCATAGCTCGCTTGTCAATTATCGATATTTTGCAAAGTTTTTGACACATGCACGCGCGCGCGCGCACGTGTATGTGTGTAACGATTTTTTTTATACATTTTATATATTTATATGTATGTATATATGTATGCATATACATATATACATACATACATGTGATCGTTTATTATTCCAGAATAGTAATTGATTTTAGATTATTTTAATTTAAATAAACTATTTAATTGTGTTTTTATCAGTATTTTATATTATTACAAATGTAATCGTAGCGCAATATTCATTAATATTTTTCATTTATACGTAGTATAACGACAAAAATCTTTACCTCGGATAGGAAAATGCCAAGTCCGTTTCTAACAAGGCGAAAAGAGAATCCTCTTTTTAATGTTTAACCTCGCAACAATATTTATCATGCTTGCATCTTGCCAAACATACATTATGTATGTATAAGTTGATGATGATGAAATTATTAGAATAGATTCTCAATCAATGAAAGAAATTTTTTCTTAACGTATATTTCACATTAGGTGGTTAAATATTTAAATCTCGCAATTATTAGCGAAAAAATTTATAACATTTCAATATTGAGAAAAACATTTTTTAATTAATATCTGTGTGTATGTGTATGTGTGCGCGCACGTGCGTGCCTGTGTGTGAGCGAGCGCTTGTACATACGTATTCATCAAAATGTCGTCTCATGCTATTTACATTTGAGGAAATATTAATTATTTACATAAGACTCAGAAAATACATGATGCTCGTATCTAATAAGTTTGATCGAAGTGCTTATGAGCGTTCGAAACACAAGAGAAAAACACAAACATGTTAATGTAAATGTTATTGACTCCGTAACAAAGGTGTCAAATAAACTAACTTTTTATTAAGATGCATCTTTTTATACTTCCATATCGATATATCTTGATAAGACTATTACACAGAGTTTTAGATATCGTTAATACAGCAATTGTCCAAATTATTAGTTAAACGCACACGAGCGTACGTGGCAAAACATTTCTTCTGTTGCAATTTTATATTTATAAAAAAGTAAAATAATATAAACACTATAAAATGAAAAATTCTCATCCCCCTTAACACACATTACTGCAAATTTCTCATTATTGTTACTAGTAACTACAAAGTATTTTCAAAGTAAATTTTATAAATCAAAAACGATTTGTGTGAAACAAAGTACCATCGCGATAATAATATAAATACATTAAAGTTTTGCATCGACATCTACAATGTAAAGATGTAAAATATGAAATTTGGTCTGAAATAAGCCAGACGCGAATGCGTTGGCTAAAGTTACCATAAGTACACTTGATTCAATTATGTTTAATGTACATATGCATCACTTGAAAATAATGTTAACTTAACGCCGTACACTTACAATTAGTGTAGGCGAAGCACTGTTATCAAGCGATGTGGGAGATGTTTTTTTTCCTTTTTTGCACTTGATTAATATATTTAAAATACAGAAAAATATATATTTTTGACATATACATAGTAGAAAATAATTTATCCAATTATACGTTGAATATTTTTTTACTTATTTGATATCAACATTTTCAATATTATTTTGCGTGATAGGTGATTTCCGCACTTATATTTATTATATCTCTTTAAAGGACAAACATATTCTTTACACAAATAAGCTGGTAATCAGTACACAAAGTTGTGATAATTAAACATGACTAGTTCTTCAGTTGAAGAGATATATGTTTATACACAAAATTTATGTGCGTTGTTCTACCTCAAAAATTAATGATTCGAGTTTTTGCGCAGGATTTATAGTAAAAGATAATTCTGCTGCCACGTTGCGTTACACAATTGTAATGGCGAGTATGCGTTTGCAATGAAATAATTATAATACCTATTTCTTTTGTGTAATCATAGAAATTTCAGAAAACTTGTTTTTAATCAATTATGCAACAAAGATTATGTAACACAATGCTACATATAATATCTACGTGGATTTGAAGTTCAGACTGTGTACTTAAGTTACACTATATGTATAACCACTACTCCAAAAAAAAGACCTCGTTAACAAAGTGAATAATAATATAAAAAACCTATAAGTAATGTTATTCATATCATCTAGTGATAATTAAGAATTGAATGAAGAACAATAGAGATAAAAACAACAATCACATTAGAGAATATAAATAGAAGGAGTTGAAAAAGAAATTTTTCGGAAAAATGTTTTTTCCAGGCCTCTTATCGGAAAACTTTTATGCGAGAAATACAACGTAAACATCAAGAGCAAAAGTTTCACAAGGATTGCCGCAAACGTACGGTTAATATTTTACCAACGATTCTTAATGATATTGCTACCTTAATGCATCTCATAAATGATAAATTTTGTAAAATTGATATTTGAAATATCTGTCAGATCGCTGTGACGATACGGTAAGGAAATTGAGGCCGCTAACAACGAGCAGCGATGATTTCAATGTGCATACTGCGCGTATCACGCCAACGATCTTAACAGCATGGCCTTAAAGATACTTATTATCGAGGCGTTCAGATACTACTGCCCCTTATATGTATCTTTATTTTGATAACCTTGGACATATCCTGACGTATCCGCCGTATCCTTGCGACCTGCTATACCTTTACCTTTTCCTGTTTCAGTATCGAAACGTTGTTTGTGAGAACCGGTATATTTGCTGACATCGGTAAGCCTGTCAACTGTCGACGCTGCCTTTCCAGCCTGTAAATAAATGAAAATGAGATTATAAGATTGAACGAACGAGTGTCGTTGATTCGTGCAACGCAATGAATCACACGATAAGATATACGACACTACACAAATCGATCAAGTAGACGATTAAAAAGGGAAAGAAATTTATACAACTAGGAAAACTAATAAACTAACTTGTAAAATTAACTACTAATTATAAGATTTGTGTGTAGCACAATTTATTAAACTTGTTCGAGGAAGAGAGAGAATACAAAAGATAAATAAATTTAGTACATACTCCAGCAGCACCCCCGGTAAACCCAGGAGGTCCACAATTAGCCATCTTCTTTTTCATTTCCGCCAATTCCACTTTTTTACTTTTAGTCAATTCCTCCAGAAATGTTTTGTATTGTTCAATACCAAGCTTTGTGGATCTGTTATCGATTAAAAAGAAGAAAAAAGAAAAGAAAAGAAGAAATATGAGACTAGATATCCCAGACAGTTAAGTTAAAAGATTTGCAAAGTTCTCCAAACATACTTGTGCTTCTTGAAGTAAATTCCGGTATCCGTGGTAGTGATTTTCTTTCCATCGATTACCTTGGCTTGCTTCATCCATTTGTCACTTTGACTTAACGTAATCAGCTTGCCATCGCTCTTTGGATCGCCGAATTTGGAGAAGGCTTTGAAGCTCGCTAAAAAGCTACCCGGTTCAGCGCTACCAGGACTACTTGGTGTTGGACTCGTCGAACCGTCTTCCATCTTCAAATTTGTCACCTCGTTCGCAATCGAAGTCGTCACGTCGTTGACAGCCTTATTTTTCTCGGCATCACTTTTCTCCGTTTGCATCGTAATTCCTAAAAGGAAAATTACTCAATCGAGTGCGAAAACAGCATTCGTATTTTGCTACACTATTCTGATTAAAGTTGAAATGAAATTAGAATTAAAATGATTTCATCTTTCACAACTGACACGGTTACTTTCTGGGGGGAAAAAGCTAGTTTTTCCACAAAAGATGTACATACATGTACGTATATTTTTGTCTCGTTTATCGCTAGACGACACGATCGATGTGCAACAGACAGTTGATCGCCAACTGTTGCGCTCTTATTCATTATACACAAGTTCTTTCTCCGGTTTACCGATGTATTACTGAGCAGACCGCACGCAATAGGTCGTAATAGGAGTCACGATATTTCTCTCATCGAACGGTAGTCTTTGCTAGTAATATTGTATATAATAGTCGTTGATATGTGTTGCAAAGGCTGTTGTGACCAGACCTCGCACTCTAGATAAAATAAGTTTACTCTACATTTATCTGCAATCAGTGGCTAATCATTTATTGTAGACTGTTGTTGCATTATTTCTCCATGTTACAATTCTACACATAATTTATGTTAAAGTTGCAAATTACAATCAAACTTGCAACGATAAATATTGAAATAAGAAGTAGTCTTATGTATACCACATATAATAATAATTGTTTGGAAATATACAGAGAGAGAGGATGAAAAATGTGTGTCAAAATAACAAAGAGCGAGAATACATGACGTAGGTGACGAGAAACTAGCCACAGGCATAACGTTATTTCACTGCTATAAATAGAGATTACGAGTGTCGTGTGTTAAGGTAATTAGCGTAAATTGAGTAAGAGCTTTGCGATCAGGTATGAAATAAAATGTTATTTCCTATTGTCGGAATGAGAAAAATTGCAATCTCTGGGTGGCAGGGTAGCAACCCGGCCGAGAGAATCATCGACTCACCGGACCTGTTAACTATCGGGGAGAAACAACGATGACGTCCCGTCAAGTTTAGCGTTTCTAGGTCAGTGTGTGCGCGCGTAGGTATTAATTCCGCGTCGTCGCGGCGACGATGAAACGGTGGGACGACGAGGACGTTTCCCGCGGTGGCTACGAGAAGGAAGCTTATTTCGGTTCCGCGCCGGCACAACGACTCCCACAACCGCACCTTTTTACCTCTGGCGAAAACGCAGAAATCCAAGAGCCAACGTATGCAACGCGGATTGCGTAGAAATAGTCGTGCGCGTCGCGAGTCGCGATGTGCCCAGGCGCGCATGTATTCTATCGATCTCCTCGTCCCAGGAAGCAGTCACCCTCCCGCATCTTCGGAACTGCGTTTCATCGTCGGATGAAATCTCTTCACCCGAGAGTCTCGGAGAGTCGCTCGCAACAGCGCTCGCCTGGAACAGTCGCTGTTGAAAACTAAAAAATTCGACGCGCACCACGCGATGCACCAACCAAATATATAATAATACATCTCTGTTTTCCATTACTCATTTATTTCGCTATTTTTCCCCCGGATGATGCTTTAAATCACACGGTACGAATAGCTTCGACGTCGTCTCTGTCCTTTATATATATCTTCCGCTAGGAACACACGACACTCGCAATTACCTATTTATATATATCCCTATTTTATTTGGAGATTTGTTGCGAAAACTTGACGGCAATTTAGGATTCGCAAGTAGCGCAAGGAGCTTCCCACCTATATTGTTTCCTTAGGTCTCGAGTAAATGAAACGATCTATTTTCCTTTCGATCAACCGGCACAAGTTTCACTCATCTCTGTAAATCCGATCGGAGCTGAGAGCGAGACTAAACCGTCCTCCCAGCCGTTACCGCGCCCGAATAGTATCCCCACCTATTTTACAAAGTTTATGTATCTTCCAAGTCGCAAGTCTTCAATCGTTCAAAATTCCTTCTTCTTTTGGGAGATGAATTCTTTCCTTACCTAATATCCATGTAGTTTTTATTTCTATATCAAAGTTGAAGAAAACTGGACATTTTTTATAAATTTAGTAAAAAAACAAGCTCACCTCTCTCTTAAAATTGGTCTATGAATGACATTCCATTTACCTGATTTACCTATATAACTACTCGACTCCCCACTCCCATTGTAGTGGGTAGCACGTAGAGTAGTCGCATCGAATTCTCGAAGCCGAGGTGGAAATCTCGTTAATTCTCGGAAAAATTCAAAACCGCCGTTGTTGAATTACAATCAAGATTTGCCGTAAGACTTATTAATATAATGCTTTCTTTGCTCGATAGTTTGTCAACTGACGCAAGTCCAACCATAGCTAGCACCTAACCTATCTTACAGATGTCATTGAGGGATATGATATTTAGTCGTGTAAAACGTTTAAGACAAAATGAAAATATGTTTAATCAAATATCGAGTTAATCTAGTGTCCTTATTTTTCACTTGAACAATATTTATTTCTGAGAGAAAGAGAGAGGGAGAACGTATATCGTAATGCTTACGCAGACAGGTAATAATGTGTAACGATGTTGAATAAGAATATAGGATAGCTACATTTCTGACAACGTGACCAATTCATCGAAAATAACAGAAAAATATTATCTTTGCAGTTTTGTTTACAATCATCAGGGGTATACTGGCTTATCAAGATATGTCGTCAAGTGGACAGCAAAACGATATTAAAACCTTATCTACAGCATGTAACAAGTTTACGATTCCGTTATACAAGGTATATTTCTACTTGATATAAGCTATACACAAGAACTTTTCAAATTTCCAATTTATATCCCATAGAGTGTAGCGAGCAACGTTGACAGCAACGTCATAATTTCTCCTTGGAGCTTGCACATGATATTGTCTTTACTTTCTAATGGTGCCGGAGGATTTACGTTGACCCAACTAAAATCTGCTCTTCACCATGATGACACAGCTTCTTTCGACGATGAATTTAAGGCTCTAAATATCTTGTTGAACGTAAGAATTAAGAAGCGTGTCGAGTGACGCCTCCTCTTTCTCAGTCATTACATATCTAAATATTTTTCAGAACATTAAAAACACCGAATTGCATATAGCGAATAAAATGTACGTCCAAGATGGATTTGACTTAATGGCAGAATTTTTAGGGATATGCACAAATACTTTTCAATCCTCAATCTCGAGGTTAGACTTCACAGATAATGGGCATGCTGTAAAAACTATTAATTCATGGGTTGAAAAAGCAACAAATAACAAGATATTCGACATAATTTCTTCTGGTACATCATTATTAGTAATTCAATGCAGATGATCGCAAAACGAAGCATTTTCAGGGATTAAATCACAAAAGGTTTCTAATGATTTATAAATGAAATTATTTTAAACAGACGATATCGACGAGGATACAAGGATCATGTTAATAAATGCTATTTACTTTAAGAGTAAATGGTTACACAGATTTGATGAATCTTATACAGTAAATCGGAAATTTCATGTTTCCAAAACAAAAACAAGCCTTGTTCCAACAATGTTTAAAGAATCAAAGTACGCTTATGGTGAAATACCGACTTGGCATACGTCATTTATTGAAATTCCGTATTTGGTAAGTATAAATTGCCCCTATCTGGAAGACACTTTTAAACAGAAAATTCACGTCAACAACAATTTTACAGAATCAAGACATTGCAATGATAATATTATTGCCAGATAGAGAAACAGAATTGCAGATTTTAGAAAATAATTTCAACTGGGAAACGTTGGCAGAGGCACCTAGATCTACCGACGAGGTTGCATTGTATCTGCCTAAATTTAAGTTTGAAATTACTATAGATTTGAAAGATGTTTTACGTAAGGTAAGCAATTGGCCAAGTGCAAAAGAATACAGATAAATTTCACAAACTGAAACTCATACTTGTAGATCGGGTTAAATACCATGTTTCAAGATGATGCGGATTTTACACGCCTCTCTAGCATTCCTCTGAAAGTAAGCCAGGTATTGCAAAAAATTTTCATAGAGATTAACGAAGAAGGTTCGGAAGCTGCTGCCGCAACAGGTAATCTGTCTATCTGTAAACGATGAAAGAAACTTGAGAATTTTGTAAGCGTTAGAATATGAAACTACTTGCTGCAGTTGCGGGAATGAGAATGAGAAGGATGGCAGTTTTACCGATGGAGTTCATGGTGGATCGTCCATTTTTGTTCGTGATTGAACATAAACCAAGCAGGATACCACTGTTTTTTGGAAGTGTAAGAAAAATCGATTTTCTTGAAGCAAAAGATGAATTATAAATTTACTTAATTATATTATGTGTAAAGTTCCGAGGATAAGAAATCATTTTAAACTTTTATTAATCACTGTGTTTTATTATCAAGATTTATGTTCGCACATATTATTGTTATAGTATCATATAACACTTAGTTTAGTTCTCTTCAAAGGTACTTAACTGTGTCTCGAGAGAGCTTCAAAAGCAGACATTTAACTCATATACGTAAATCTATTAATTAATCATTTCTATTTTGCACAAAGTATACTTGTGATACACAGGACATCCTAAATTATTGCACTTCTTTTTTAATATAATAATTACAAAGTTCTAATGAACTTGTATATAAAGCTTTGATTTATCCGGTGAAATTTTTCCACTAAGCTATTTGTTTGTCGAAAGTTAACCAAAGACTAGATATTTGATCGACTTTTCCTTAGATTTTAGAGTGCTATATTTTTGGACATCTTTACGCAGATCTTCTAGAGAAGAAAATGCCAGTGCTTTTATATTTATTGATGTCTGCCGGTGACGCGATCTAGTATTGTTTGCGTTAGTACCTTCTCAGCTACGTTTCGTGCAAAATTCGTCAGTTGATCTCGAATGCCAGGACGCTTGGTAGTCGTCATATAATTTTGGCCTTGATATCCTCCTTGCGGATAATTTTGTGGATACCCATTTGAGTAACCTTGATTAGGATATGAGGGATGTTGATTATTGTACGGGTATCCTGCATTTTGGCCCGGATAGTTATTGCGGTACGATGGATTTCCTTGCGGATATGCGGATGTGCCTGGGCTCGGGTAGCCAGCATTTACAGCGTTAATGCCGGTTCGCCTAACAGTTTCCTCACCGTAAGGATTCCTAGAATTATCTGGATATCCTGAAGAACCGCTATTTCCACCTGGATATCCGGATCCTGTCGGATAACCGGAGCTTTCTCTAGACGGATAATTGGATGATCCACTCGAAGGATAGCCAGAGGATCCGCTGGATGGATAACCAGATTGACTGGATGGATATCTAGATGATCCACTGGACGGATAGCCAGACGACCCGCTGGACGGGTAGCCGGACGATCCGCTGGACGGG